GAACCATTTTACACTCCCACCAACAGTGAAGAAGGGTTCTAGTTTCTCCACGACCTCGTTAGCATTTGTTGCTTGCTGTTCTGTTAAATTTTGCTATTCTGACTGGAGTGAGATGAGATCTCATCGTTGTTTTGCAGAGCGCTCTTGATCCAAAGCTTCAAAGTTCAAATCTCCCAATTGCTCGGCAGGAGAAAGATGAGCAATCCTCTCCTGTGAATTTATAGCCTCAGAAAATTACAGGAGGATCAGCTATGAATCCACTCTGACTTGATGACACATAACAACAATAACACACAAATTGCTCTCCATACCCACTTACATCTGTCCCTCATGTAACAAAATTGAAATAGGAGTGCTCTACAGTTTCTATCTGCATAGAAACCTTATAAGATACCCCTATATTATCTTTCTTACTGACATGGCCTTTATTTGCTCAATTTATGTGCTCAGTTTAAATAGATATAGTCATTCATGGCTTAGCATCTGTTTGGACAATGTCTAGCAGTATATACAAAAGTGATCCCACACCTCATAAAATATTACATTAAAAATTTGAAGTATGTGCAGTGGATGGTGGTTTTCAGTAGCAAATGAGTACTACAATGTAACTTGCATTAAAACATTATTATTATTACTTTATTTTTATGTTAAAGATGTTTTAGTGTATTTTTGAAAGCATCTGTGACAGGGCAAGCAGTAAAAATAGCCTATCTAGAAAGGCAATACCCACTAAGGTGATGAATGTTATAAATATTTTGTGGTGGTATTGTTGCTAGGTGCTTTCAAGTCGAGTACGACTCATGGTGACCCAGTGAACAAAAGATCGAGACTCTGTTCCATCCTGTGCCATCCTCACACTTCCTGACACACAGGAGCCCATTGTAGCAGTCACTGCATCAATCCACTTAGTCTGAGGGTCTTCCTATCCTTAAAAAAAAAAAAATTAAAAATAAACCACTTTCCTCATTTCAAAGGTCTTTCAATCTGGGCTCTATAACTATCTTCCTTCCTCTGATATTCATAGGGTTTTCAAAGGATGGTTATTTAAGGATGCCAATCCTGTTTCCTACTCTTTCTTAATCTGGGAACTCAAACAAACCCTGTCCACCATTATGGCATTTGACACACTAGTGGTGCAACTTTCAGTATCACAGCAACTCCAAGTTATCTCAGTGCAGTACAGCAAACTGATAGACAAGTGCTGTACCACTTAGAACAATGTTCTCCCCAAACACAGTTAAATACAAAGGCCCGCCCCATAGTCCCTGATCAATGGCGGCTGTGGGCCTTTCCCTCGGTCCCATTCATTGTTGTTAGGTGCTCTCAAGGCAGTTGTGACTCATCATGACCTTTTTTTTACAATAGAGCAAGCTGCCTGGTGCTAGACCGTTCTCACACAGGCTGCTGCTCTTAAATCTGCCATGGCAGCCACTGTCAGCCCACCTCACTGAGGGTCTTCCTCCCTTCACTGACCTACTACTTTACCTGCACAGTTTCTTTCTCTGGAATTGTCCCTCCTGATAACATGTCCAGAGTACACTTGTTGGTGTTTCTCCACCTTCATTTCTTTTTTTTTAAAACATTTTATTTTATTAAGTTTAATGAACATTTATGGAGATTTTGGATTTTCATTCATTCATTGTCCATCTTCATTTCTAAGGAACATTGTGGCAGTGCTTCTTCCAAAGATTTGCTCATTCTTCTGATGGTCTGTGGTGTAGTTAATAGTCCCTGCCAACACCAGGATTCAAAGACGTCGATTTGTTTTGCATTCAGATGAGATGTTTGATAATACATGGCTTAGATCAGGTACACCTTACTCGTCAAAGTGATTTTTGCTTCTTAACACTTTTTTTATGTAAAAAATATTTTTGTTTTCTATTGGTTTATTTACATAGTTTGTATACATTGTTTTGCACACTGATCTTTCCCATTTCCTTTACTCATCCCTGTTTCTACCCATCAAATTGTGCGACCCTCTGATCACCCCCTTTGCTTCCCCCCTTGAGTTCTTTTACTGTGCATTTGCCCAGTGCAAGACATCATTTGATTTTGTGCCACTTATTTCCTTGGATATTGGGTTTTGGATTCAGGTAAAAGGAAATCTTTGACATCTTCATTGTTTTATTTCTCACAGACCTGAATAGGAAACTGAGTGTAATGCATTGTCCTGTCTCTTTATAAGTTATCTGATATGCTCTAATGGATAATAGCACAAAAGAAGAAGCTAAAAAAATTTAAATTGCTTATTTCTTCTTTTTTTAGGGCCATCTGAATCTGATAACTTTTCCCATAACCTGAGAGGAGTAATCCCACGAAGTTTTGAATATTTGTTTTTCTTAATTGATCGTGAAAAAGAGAAGGTAAAACTTGTAAAAAAAAAAAATAAAAAAGTTGTGTGAAATATGTGATTTTCCGTGGTTAGCTGGCTATTAGTAATTAGCTTGTGATGCACGAGGGACATGGGTGATAGTGTCCGTTTGGATAGGAAGCTGTAGTATAAAAACTTTCAATTTGCAAGATTATGGTCAATCTTTTGAAGAGCATAATAACTGCTTCAAATAAAACTTTACAAGGAAGTCTAGGATATAAGAGAAATGAAAAGTGGAAATAGATAGACTGCCCAGTTGTACCTCCTCTGGCTGGTTTTGAGGCACCTTGAAAGCCTCAAGGGCTCCTATGACAATGATTTTTTATTATTATTTTTTAAATTATTTTTGTGTGAGTGTACCGTCAAATCAGATCTGACTGGTACAGGAGGAGATTGTCCCTCCTTCCCCGGCAGAGCATCTGGTGGATTCAAACCATGTGCCTCTGGGATTGTAGTTGCAGCTCCTTGCCACTAGGCCACCAGAGTTCCCCTTATGACAATGATTTGATGCTTCCTTAAAATGTAATAAAGTGTTATCTAGATGTTTTGGAGTTTTTTCCCCAACTGCCTTTTAGGTTCTTTGAATTGTGTTGAAGGGTGGTTTTGTAAGAAATGCATAGCTTGTGAAGCAAGTGAAAGTAGTGTATCAAAGCAGAGCTTCTCTTTCACAGGCTGGAGCTGGAAAGAGTTTTCTTTGTAAGTGCTCCTTTATCGAGATCTACAACGAGCAGATCTATGACTTGTTGGACTCGGCATCTGCTGGACTGTATTTGAGGGAGCACATCAAGAAGGGAGTCTTCGTTGTTGGCGCAGTAGAGCAAGTGGTCACCTCAGCGGCAGAGGCCTATCAGGTACCCTGGCTTGAGCTCTGGCTTAGGCGCTGTGGCCGTGAGACCACCTGGATCTCAGAAGGGTCTAGAACCGTTACTCCAGGTTATGGAGAAAGTTCCGTCAGTGGAATTAATTGAATTTCCCAAATGTGTGTCAACTTGACTAGGCCATGATTCTCAGTGTGATGCAGTCAACTTATGTGTTGTAAATCATAACTTTTATGATGTTAGGGAGGTGGGATTAGAGGTAGTATGTAACGATGTAATCATTCCCCAGGATGTGATTAGGCACTTTCCTATAAGGGGATTAGGGTGGGATGTAACACCTTTAATTAGGTCACAGCCTTGCTATAATGAAGGAGGAGGGGCTTTTCGTCATCTGTGGCCTGTAGCACCTTCTTATGTGATATAAAAGGATAGAGGAAGGGAGCTCTGGTGACCTAGTGGTAAAGAAGCTGCATCCACCAGATGCTTTGTTGGAGAGGGAGGGGCAATCTCCACCTATGCCAGTCAGATCCGATTTAACGGTAAACAACAAGAAAAGGGAAGGGGGAAAAAGGATAGAGGAAGCTAGAACAAGAAAGGAAGAAAGTACCACCAGGAATGGAACATGTCCTTTGGGCCCAGGGCTCTGTGCTGGAAAACTCCTTGATGGAGAAGACTAAGACATACCTGGGGCAAAAGGGGGCAGAAGCCAAGACATAGAAGGGGCAAAAGAGAGTGTCAGTCAAAAATCCTTTCTGCAAATGAGACATTTTAAAAAATCCCATTATAGAGAATCTGAAAGTACACAGTCGTAAGTATTGGCAGACTGCACTCTTGACTGCATTTTAACAAGATCCCTAGGTGATTTGTATACACGTTAAAGTTTGAGATGTTCTGCCCCAGATAGATTCCTGTCTTCACATTTTACAAAAATGGGGACTGATCTGTGAAAAGGTTAGACGGGCCACACACCACGCAGCTAAAAAAGGTGGAGCCAGGGTTTGGACTTTGAATTTAGGCTCATCTGTTTGAAGAACCTGCAGCCAGAACGTGCATATATCCTGCTTTATGGATAATATTCTACATCACTTTCCCCACTTTGAGTTGAGTCTGTGACCTTCTGTCAGGTTTCTCAGGCTGTAAATCCTTATGAGAGGAGGCTACACCTCTTTCTTTTAAGGAATGACTTGTGGATTTGAACTATTGACCTCTCGGTTGGCAGCCTGACACATTGCTCACTACTCTGCCAGGGTTCTTAATAGAGAATAGGGAGGGCATTATTCGTAGGCCAGGAGGAATGACAGCTTTGGCCTTCAAGACAATGTAGAAATTTATTCACCTTTTTTCATTTTCTAGGTAACGAACGGCATTCAGCTTTATGTTTAGCCTTGAATTAAATCAACTCATTGCTTTTGACTCAGAGCTGACCCTTCAGCAGGTTTCCAGGAGGCGGTGCTTTGAGAGAGTTAGTCAGTCGCACAGGAGGAGATTGCACATGTTGGTGGAATCAGACCCCAGAGAGGCGCCACCTTAGGGTTAACAGTGCAGCCACCTGTGGACAGTGCCACCAGAGCTCCCTGTTGGCTTAGAGAGGAACAGACTGGTTCTAACAAACCTCTGCCCACGTCTTGGAGAGGGAACAGAAGAAAGAACAGGAGAGGAAAGGAATTTGAGAATGTTCCTGAATGGACCAGTCTTCCTCCTCACGACTCTACACGTTTGCCTGCTGGCGGCTTTGCTGGCTGTGGCGCACCACTTCTGCTCGTATAACTTTGCTAAATGAGCTAGATTGCATTGGTCCGGCCATACATTCCCTGCTCCTGTTCTTGTGAGGATCTAACCTTGGTGTAAATATTGCATATGCAGATAATTGGCTCTATGCTAGCATTTTTCTTATTAACATTAATGATTTCTCAGGTACTTATTTTAGGTGTTTAGATTTTCTTAGGTGTACAGTTGTTTCTTTCTTTTGTTGTTGTTAAGTGCCATCGAGTCGCAGGCGTCTCATAGCGACCCTGTGAAGGAGAGTCCTCAACGCTTGGGTGCCTTTCTTCCTCTCTCCAGGTTCATAGGGTTTCCGGAGGCAAGCTATTACGGACGCAGATGCCACTCCTCCTTCCAAGCTTGTTTTAATCACTCTCTGTCTGCATTGGGTAGCCAACCATTAACGCATTTGACACATCAGTGTCACAGTGTTCAGCCTCACAGCAACCACAAGTGACCGCTGTACAGCAACTTGTACACCAGGGCTATACGACCTAGAGGAATGTCTGAACAAAAACAGTGAAAGACAGGCCCGAGGGCCGCAGATTAAAAGTCACCCACCTTCGGCTTGGTAGCATTGCTTTCTGTGCACTGGGCCAGCTGATCTCTCTCTCCATGTTGGTGTTATTGTTGTTAAGTGCTGTTGAGTCACAGGCGACTCCCATAGTTTCTCATTTCATAGAATTCTCAATTCTTTCTTCTTCTTATTAATTTTAAGAATGTTTACAGAGATTTTTGGATTTCCATTCATTCATTGTTGCACTTTTCTCCCTGCCCACCCCTCCCCTCCAGTTCGTTCTTCTCTTTGAAAAGTAAAAAGAAAAATTCTTTCATTGTTATACAATCCCTCCCCCCAGGTCCGCTCCACTATGCAGCCTTCATTCTGAACTCATATCATGACAACAATACTAATCATAGTCCTCTCTCTCATCTGTTTCAATACAGCAGTTGTTTCTTTTTTGTATATTTGCGCCCAGGTCTTATCTGGAGGATGGAGGAACCGGCGCGTGGCATCAACGTCGATGAACAGAGAATCCTCTAGGTCTCACGCAGTCTTTACGATTACAATAGAGTCAATGGAGAAGAGCAGTGAGACCGTGAACATAAGGACCTCCCTCCTCAACATGGTGGATTTGGCAGGCTCTGAAAGGCAGAAGGATACCCACGCAGAAGGGATGAGGTTGAAGGTAACAGAGAAACTACGGTCTGGGGGGCGTGAGTGACTTCTTCCTGGATGTCAATACCAAGCAAAATGTTGATGGACTGCAATGGAAGAAAAAAGAAAATCTCTGTCTGAGATTTTTACTGTGTACTAAATATAGTAGCCATACATGAAATAGGCCAGGTGTGGAAGGAGCAAAGAAGGTCTGAATTCATACCCAGGGGATCGATGGTATACGTGACACCAGAGCTCAGAGGAAATGTGTCATGTGGACTGTTTAAAGCAAGGAGTTCTTAAGTCTCAGGGAACGGGATTTGGGTGGGGAGCAAAGAGCAAGAAGTTACCTGCTTAGTAGGGCGACATCTCAGGGGTTATTTTGGATGCCATTCAGCCTGGTTTGTGGTTAGAGAATGGATCACGTAGATCAGATCACTGAGTACCAAGAGTGCAAGGCCAAGTTTACACTCAGCAGACCTGCCGGTGGTGGCTGTGAGGTACCACTGAGTCAGGTCCAACTCATTGTCACCCTGTGAACAACAGATCAACCCTGTCCTATCTTGTGCCGTCCTCATCATCTCTGACACACTTGAGCCCATTGCTGCTGTCACCATGTCAGTCTGTCTCTTTGAGGTTCTCCCTTTCCTTCTCTGATCTTTCCCAGAATAATGTCCCTTTCCACAGACTAGCCTCTCCTGGCGACATATCCAAAGTATGTGAAGGGAAGCTTCACCCTTCTTGCCTCCAAGGAGCACTCTGGCTACATTTTTACCAAGACATATCTGTTTGTTCTTTTGACAGTCCATGAGATTCTTGGTGCTCTTCTCCAACACCACAGCTCAAAAGCATCAGTTCTTCTTCAGTCATCCTTATTCATCCTCCAGCTCTCAGACGCATAGCAAGTGATTGAAAAGATCATGGCCTGAATCAGACACACCTTAGTCTTCAAACTGACATCATTGTTCCTTAGTAATTTGGAGTAGTCCCTGCCAGTTGGCTTACACAAAGCAGTGAATTTGCCCCAGGCAGTGGACTCTAGGAAACCTTTAAAGTTTTGAGTAGATGAGTGATTTCATGAAGAAAGGCTGTTATAAAACATCTGTAAAAGACATCTGTACTGCAAGTGCCAGATTGAAGATGAGAGAGCTTAAAGAGAACAGAGTGAATGATACTGTTTACCGTTTCTGGTGTGAAGGGTTAAGGACCTAGTCCTTGGCTAGAATTCTAGTAGTGGCATCAGAGGTTTTACATCCTGTGTGTTCTATGTATTGTAATATATGCAGTCAATAAAATACATATGGATGCTGCAGTGTAAAATATGTGTGGGCCCGGGGACAATTACTGTGAATGGTGAAGGATGTTCTTCCTTCTTTCCTATTTGAAGGAATACAGTCATGAAGGATTATAATCATGACGGAATTAATGTAATTTTTTCCCCTTCACATGGTTATTTTGTGTTTATCTTTGACAGCTAAAATTACAGAGCACATCAAACAGGGGCAGGTAGGGAGTCACTAACCACATGTTTTTGTTGTAAAGTTAGTGCTCTAATAGTACCTCTGACTTGTCTTCCCATCCAGATTTGTCACTGCTACTTAGTGTATTTTAAATTGAAACACCAAAAAGTAACCGGTGTGCTTCATGGATTGGTTCTGTTTGTTTGTTCTTATTATTTCCCACACACCGCAGGAAGCAGGTAATATAAACCGCTCCTTGAGCTGCTTGGGCCAGGTGATCACTGCGCTCGTTGACGTGGGCAACGGGAAACAGAGACATGTTTGCTACAGAGACTCCAAACTCACCTTCCTGCTCCGGGTAAAGTGGACACTCCAGTTCCCGGGGTCTTTATTTGGGATATGCTTCCTCTGTCTTACTGCAGGAAGATCTGTTTCCTCTTGCTTTAGAAAGGTCTTGTGATCTCTCATTTGACACTGTCAACCATTCATGTCTTTGGACAGGATTCCCTCGGAGGTAATGCGAAAACAGCCATCATTGCAAATGTGCATCCTGGGTCCAGGTGTTTTGGGGAAACCCTGTCGACACTTAATTTTGCACAAAGAGCCAAGCTGATTAAAAACAAGGTAAAAATGCTCTGAGTACACTTTACCAAACAAATGGGAAAAGTCACCTGCAGCAGCCTGTTTACCCTAACTGTAAAACTGATTAATCTATGAAAGTTTATCTTAACTTCAAGATTTTAATTTTCTTTTTCCTGACCCTTGTATCACAGATATAATTAGAGATTCAGATCAGGGGAATTTTTTTTTTTTTGTTATTACTTTTTGGCTAATTTTTGTTAAGAGATGTCAAAGCTTAAAAAAAAAGGGAGACGTCAAAGCTGTTTCTTTGTAATTGGTTTGGAAACTAAATTTACTTTTCTAAATCATGCCAAGTGGAACCAGCCCTCTCTTTTTCTATGTGGGAGAGGTAGTGTAGTGTGGGAAATAATACTTAACAATAGTTTTGTAGTGTTGATTTTACCTTTCAGGTTGTCTAAGACTCCTATGATCCCACCTTTTTTTATATATGCATAAATAAAAGAAACTTTCTTGATATTGGTATGCATCAAGCATTAACAAATGCCTTATAAAGGGCCAGATGACATTTATTCTAGATTTCTTGAATCATTGGATCATTGGTATCTATCACAACTGCTCAGCATTGCTCTATAATATTAACCGTAGCTATAAACAGTGTGTGAACAAGTGAATATGGTTGACACAACTCTATTTACAAACCCAAGCACTAGGCTGAATTTGACCCATGAGTATAGCCTGTCAGTCCCTGGTGTAGTCTGTCAAGAGATAGAGAAGTCTGCCACTCGCTTCAGCTTTGCTGATAGATAATCCTAGTGCCATAAATGGATAGATTAATTTCTTCTCTCCTTCAAATTGGTCATTCTTGACTCAAAAGTGAATTCCACGATCTTCTGTACATCTAATTATGTTTTGAGTGAAAAACTCTATGTTGTCCTTTGCCCTTCAGCTAAGACCTTCTCCTAAACCCTTTGAGATAGCCACATACTACCTTAGAGGAAGGGGAGTGTAGCTGATTCTCCTTGTGTTCTCATTAGCTTTAGTGTATGCTCTTGCTACAAACACTGAAGTAAATACTAAGCCATTGCTCCTATCAGAAATACAAAGGTAATTTCCTATAAGCCTTTGGCAATATTTGAACCTAGTGAGAAATATACCCCCTCTGATAAAGAAAAAGGTCAGCGAAAATAAGGGAAGTGCTCAATGAATGAATTTGCACAAAGCCAGAATAGTGGACCCAAACATGCCAAAGGGAGCTTTTGTAGCTTAGCTGTAAGGAGTTATACTGCCAACCCAAAGGCTAGTGGATCAAGTACACCCACTGCTGTATAAGAAAAAGATGAGCAGTCTCCTTCCATAATATTTACAGTTTTTAAAAAGCTAGAGGATTTGTTATGATTTGGTTCTGTGGCTTGAAGTTGGGGGGGTTGTTGAGACATGCTAGGCGTCCTAGTGAAGATGCATGAAGACAGGGTACGTTCTGCCAAAAGTAAAGTTACTGTGGATTGAAACTGGAAACCAGTAACAGCCAATTCATAACCTTGGTTTATGTTTGTTTGTTTTTTGTTTTGTTTTTTTATTTTGTGTGTGTGTACCATCAAATCAGATCTGACTGGTACAGGAGGATATTGCACCTCCTTCTCCGGCAGAGCATCTGGTGGATTTGAACCGTGTTCCTCTGGGATTGCTGTGCAGCTTCTTGCCACTAGGCCACCAGAGCTCCCCTCATAACCTTGGTTTATATGTATCTCTGTTTAAAGATATTTTAAAAACACATGTTGTCACTTTTGAGTTCATGACAATAGCACATGGCTCCAAACATTGCCAAGTATTCATTTTGAGGTTACAGGTAAATCTTAGCAAGTAGGTAAATGTATAAATACAAACTCCTTGTTTATAAAGGTCAACTTCTAGATTTTGTTTCTTCCTTCCGGTCAAGATTCTTCTTCTAGCCCCAAACCTGGGTAAATCAGAAGAGTCATTAATTTTATTTCCTTAGACTATGATCTGTAGTGGGATATTTGTAATATAAAGAGAAAAGTTGCCTGGCACTTTGGACCCCTTTCTTTGGAACTTACTGGAAGTCTTTGGAGAGTAATAATTGGAATTATGATGTCATCAATATGATGTGATGATGTCAGAATGTGCAGACATGCCTCAAAAAAGTTGGCCATCAGATTGGTAAAAGCTGGAAATGGCTTCTTGTCACACAGAACAGCAAAGTTAGGAGAATTGTATTAGTCACTATCAATGGTAAGTCCCTCAGCTGCAGCTCGGCCGTGGGAAGTGTACTTATTACTGACTGGGCTTCCTGGGAATTGTTTAAAGATTAATTCTTTAGCTCTGTGCCAGTCAGTAGGCAAGGCCTAAGACAAGAACCTGGGACTTTGGGGCTCCCTGCAGATTTCTTCTCACATGATTGTCTTTAGACTTTTTTTTAGACTCAGCTTTTGCACCCGTGATCACACAATAGCTACTATGGGCCTTTAAAACCATCTGAGAAGTTGTTTCAAGTGAGGCATTTTTTTAAGAAAAGGAAAATGACATAGAATTTGGTCAAAACCAGTAAACTGGTCAAATCACTTGTCTTCCTAAGAGGGCTGGTAGGAGTCGCAGGGTTAGATTGCTCTGAGAAGGGACGTTCCTGCCAAGCCAGTGGCCCTCAGGCCGGTGCTGTGGACGTCACACTCATCATCACACTCACCAGCTATGCTCTTTCACTGTTGTGTTGGACAGAGAGGCAGTGACACTAATGAGGGAGCTGTCCTTTGGAAGAAGGAAGTGTTAGGTGAACATACCTGGAACCCAGGGTTGACCCAGTCCAACAGCACCAGGACTGGACAGCAGAAGGGGAAGGGGAGGGAGCCACGGGGCAGGGTAGTGAGGGGGCGGGGAGCCTGGCCAGCATATGTCTCTCTCTGCCTGTGAGTGTGAGGGCCCAGATAAGGAAGCCTTCCTCCTCACTCCAGCACACATTACGTGGCCTGGTGGTGAGACAGATGTGTATGGTCGCTTGGTGTTCGTTCCTCCAGGAGCTTCCTTTGTAATTTCTTACACAGGCGGTGGTCAACGAAGACACCCAAGGAAATGTGAGCCAGCTGCAGGCTGAGATAAAGAAGCTCAAAGAACAACTGGCCCAGCTGACCTCAGGGCAGATAAGACCAGAAAGCTTTGTGACCAGGGGTAAGAGAAGTAGCATGCTCTTTTTTTTTAAAAAAAAATTATTTTAATGAACATTTACAGAGATTTTGGATTTCCGTTCATTCACTGTTGCATTTTTTTTTCTCCCTGTCCACCCCTCCCCCCAGTTTGCTCTTCTCTTTGAAAAGTAAAATAAAAACTTCTTCATTGGTATACAATTCCGCCCACTCCCCAGTACACGCCACTATGCAACCTTCTTTCTGGACTCTTGTCATAACTGTAATACCTAATCATATATATCGCTTTCAAACTGTCCGCTCTTATGTTGAGGAAGGTCCCATGCCAATATTAACATGAGAACCCTTGATCACACATTAGCCCACAGAAGACCAACCTTTCCCCCCAGGTATCTGCACATATTTATCCCTTTCTGTTTATTATACCTTTGTAAGTGCTTGATCTTTGTAACCAGTGACAAGGCACTGAGTTCAGAAATGCCTCGGAGAAGGTACAGTCAGAGTGCTCCTGGGAGTCAGAATTAAAGCTTTGTCTCACACGTAGGCATGTTACTAGGAGAGGTTATTCCTTGGAGACGAACATCATGCTGGGATGGGTGGGAGGGCGAAAGAGAGGAAGACCCTCGAGCAGATGGATGGACGCACTGACTGCACTGAATGGGACAAAGGTCAGGGTTCAGACCTCTTGTTCATAGGGTTACTCTGAGCCAGACTTGCCTCAACAGCACTTAACAACAACAAAAATACTAGTAAATTATATTTGCAAATTATAGCTAATATGGAGGGAGCTCTGGTGGCCTAGTAGTAAGAAGCTGTGCTGCAATCCCAAAGGCACACAGTTCAAATCTATCAACTGCTCCTCAGGAGAAGGATGGACATTTACCTCCGGGTGATTTACTGATTCTGAAAAACCACTGGAGGGTCAGCTATGAGTTGGTTCCGACTCAGCAACACCCAACAACAACATAGCTAATATGTAACATGAGTTAATTTGAAACCAAAAAGATGAATTAGATCTCAAGAAAGAAAACCACAGAATCCAGTAAGACACTCCAATTTTTTTTTATCTCATGCAGGATTCTACCATACCATATAGTCAGTATGTTTATTAAAGAAAGAGAACCTTCTTTTCCTTCAAAGAATAATATGTAGAATGAGTTCATTTGAACCCACAATCCTGTGATGACAATCTGATTCTTCTAGGTTAGTTAAGAACAATCCATCAAAGGCTGGCTGTTATAGTTCATCTCTTAGTTTTAAAAATTTGGGAAATAAATCTTCCTAGAAATCACCTTCCTTTTATCATTTCTTTCTCCCTGGATCAATTATAGACCATGACAAGAATAATTATGTGATGTATTTTTGTGAGGCCATGTTATTCTTGAAGAAGTCTGAACAGGAAAAGAAGGTAGGAAATGAAATTTGTTTTAATGAGAATTCAAGATATTTTGGATTTTCACTGGGTGGGTGTTATTGGTTTACTAAGTGAAGTGACAGGAGCTCTCTGGAGATGCCTGTAGCATGTTGAGTGTTGGACTGCTAACCAAAAGGTTGGCTATTCGAATCCTCCAACTGCTCCCCAGGAGAGAGATGGGCACTCTCCTCCCAGGAAGATGTACAGCTGTGGAAACCCCGTGTTCTCAGTTGTCATGAGTTGATATTGGCAGCAGTGGATTTAGGGTTGAATTAAGCAAGTGATGTAAAGTAATTAAAAAAATTTTAATTTAAATACACAAGACCAAACACAATCAACTATTACTTTAAAGCTAAGATAGGACTATAAGGGGGGATAGGGAACTGAGTTGAATGGAAATGGAGCAAGTAGACTGGAAGGAAAGAACGTGTTCGCGCATCGTGAAGAGTGGTGACCACTGTCACTGACCAGCTTGTCGAGAAATTGAATAGGAACTGAGGCAGCTATTTAAACCTTCACTGAAAGCATGATGAAGTTGTATTGCAAAAAGATCAATGTGACATTAGTGTTTATGTATGCAGATATTTACTAATGTGGAGTTAATATTAATCTGTGCAAATGAGGGAAGCGGAATTCTTTTTCTTGTTTAACCACACTGTGACTTTCTTAAGGCTCTGATAGAAAAGGTTACCCAGTTGGAAGATCTCACCCTTAAAAAGGAGAAATTCATCCAGTCTAATAAAATGATCGTCAAATTCCGAGAAGATCAAATAATGCGTCTGGAGAAGCTGCACAAGGAATCTCGGGGACGCTTTCTACCCGATGAGCAGGACCGTTTGCTCTCGGAATTGAGAGATGAGATTCAGACGCTTCGAGAGCAAGTGAGTAGTTCCACGGAGCATTTGAAGAGAAAGTCAGAGCAAACAGAAATTTGTCACTGAAGTCTTGTCATTTTAGTACAGTGGGAATTGTGTTCAATGCATCCCACTGACAGTATGATATCATAAATCTCTTTAAGGGAGAAATAGGACAGTGTGGTGATGGTGCTACAAAGAACCCAGTTCTGGCTGCCCTCCAGTGGTGGGCAGCTGTGCTTGTCTGCAGATGTGGTCTCTTTAGAGTTGCCCTCCCAAGTTTTTCATTTTATTTACCCTTATCTCTCGGTGGGATGGGTAAGTAATAGTCGGCTCATGATTTATAAGCTAAGGGATTCTGTCACTAGGTTTTTTTGTATGTTACACCTAGAGGGCTTTGTTAAGAATCCACGTCCAGACTAATTTGGACCGTTTTCTTCCTTTTGTACTCCAGGTAGCACTTTGTACATACTTTTCTACACAATGCCTGTTTAACTTTATATTGTTATCTTGGAGGATATTCATTGTTGGCCCTCAGAATTTCCTTATTCTCTTCCTCCGTCCCCACTGTAGGGAGCTCTGGTAGCCCAGGAGGTAAGGAGTTGAGCTGCCAACCCAGAGGAAGGTGGTTCAAATGTACAAGCTGCTCGGAGGGGGAAAGATAGTCAATCTCCTGTGCTACCTACAGCCTCTGAAAACCCGCTAGAGGGTCAGCTATGGGCCGGTTCCGACTCTATGCCAGTGAGAGAGAGTCCTCACTCTGTTAATTTAGTCTGTTCTTTGTGTGAAGAGTCAGCCTGGAGCCCTCCTTGGATGCTGGGATGAAAGCTGTAGAATTCAGAAGTAGAATGACAGAGCTGTCGTAGAAACATTTCTGCCCGATCCCAAGTACAAGCTGCTTTGTCAGTGTGGTTGGCATTTTCGAAAGATGTGTTCATTAAGGAAGGGTCTGTAAATATGTAACATCCCCACTTCTGTGTCATAGGTAGAGCACCACCCCAGGGTTGCAAAGTATGCGATGGAAAACCATTCCCTCCGGGAGGAGAACAGAAGACTGAGATTATTAGAACCTGTGAGGAAGGCTCAAGGAATGGACGCTCAGACCATTGTAAAACTAGAGAAAGCCTTCTCCGAGCTGTGTGACACAGAGAAGAACAACAAAGGTGAGGGGGGCTGTCTAACTCGTCACAAGAAAGAGTCTTTTAAAGCACATAGGAGGCCTTTCATTTACCCTAAAAAAAAACCAACAAAACCACATTGAAAGTGCCTTACAATAGAGTTTTCATTTTAACCCCAGACCTGTTCCACTAATACCTTATTATATACAATGCTTATTATGTTACAAAAAGTCAGTATCGAAATAATAGGACATGTGATTTTTTTGAAAGTATTTGATAGGAAATACAGTGAATTTATTCTTGGTGCTAAACTAATCATACTGTGAACAAATGCAGAGTTCATCAGTTGAGACAACGCATGTACATGAGAGACATGAGACCAGACTACGGATCCCCCAGTGCATCCGTCCTGATGTTAAGGTGGCCAGTCGTACTTGGCAGCACCTACTCCTCCCTAGGCTTAGGGGAAAGGTGCTCAGTGAATCCTCAAGCCACCTTACATGCTGACAGCCAGCGGTACTAATCCTCTGAGATTTAGCACCAAAGCCTGTGTTTTATCGTGTCCTGAGAGTTAATGTTTTCTTAATCTTTTATTTACACCCTGCCTCAGTATTTGTTTTTGGGTTGAAACTGAGAAAGTCTTGATTCTTTCCTTTATTCATTTTTAATTTTTTTATTATTATTATGGTGAAACCTGTGACCAAAAGAATGCCATTTTAGTAATTTGAGTTATGCAATTCCATGGATGAGATGGATTGATAAAGTAACTGGGGCAATGGGGGAAGGTGTGTTGGGGTCAGTGAGACTGGCTCAGGACAGAGCAGGCTTCAGAGCTGTTGTACACAGGGTCACCATGAGTTGCAGGCGACTTGACAGCACATAACAACAACAACAAAGACATTAATTACATTCACTGGTATCTATTCCTAAAAGCCTAATCATTTTTATCTGTACTGAGAAAGAAACCTTTTTGAATCCTTATTCCCTGTATTTTCCACTCCCTCATTCATACTGCTGCGGCTTAATATATTTTTGGTATTTAGGTTGTGAAGAGACTTAAAATTTTAAGTGCAAAGTTAAAATCAGATTTTCTGTATCATTTTAGCTATATTTCCCTATAATGTTTTGTGTGCCATTGGCCATTGACCTATTACCTTCAAAATATGCTAATGCTAACTTCTAGGATCCCATCATTTCTAAACATCCATCATTCTCTAAACTCTTCATCTGATATTTTCCCCTCACTGGAAGGCAAAGATTCTATTCAGCTTATTCAGTCTTCCAAGCTGTTTCTAAAATGAATCTTTTCTACCTGGTGGTTGATAGATAAGTTCTTTCATCCTAGGGGATGATACATAAACTAAAATCCACTGCCTTTGTTATTTGTTCCCTTTCCTAAATCCTTAAAATTTTATCACCGGCCATTACTATTAGTTCTTGCAAAATTCAACTGTTGGTATTTCTCCATCAAGCATTATGCATGTTGTGCTTCTCTCACTGTTTGTCCCTTCTCTGGTTGGACATTGCGCCTCTCTCTGTCCTGTACAGATCTCTTGGATTCTTAATGGCAATCTGTACTATTCAAAGGGCTGTGTTGAGTCCTGTGTCTCCTACTGGTTTTTAGGCTCTTGTAATTTAGTGCCCATCTCTAACCTGTATCTCTTTGGCCTGCTTGGGTCTCAAATTGATATTTGAAAAAGTATTTAGAAAATAGATTCCATTACATTTCAGAGACTCAGGCATTTTCTTTGTTATCAGGTCAGCAAAGTTTCTCTCCTAAAGTTTCAAAAGAATCATGTTCGTTGGAAAACACGGAGAAGTTAGAAGCTCAGCTCCTGCAAATTCAGACAGAGCGGAATAATTTAAAGCAAGAATATGAAGAATTCAAAGAACTGACAAGGTAAAGTCTGAATTTGTATGCGTTCTTATCTTTGTTAATAGGATTGGTTAATTGGTTTCATTAATGTTTAACACTGATGATTTAGTTGAGCATTTCATGTTAAATATAAAACTCCCATACAAGTCACAGTTTGCATTTTTTACATGAAGAGATAAGACTTGCTTCTAACTCTTCAGCACTTAATGAGCTAGATGTTATGAATGTTTTAGGCAATGCTCTTGTTTCGTGTCTTGAATTTACATTGTAAATTCTTTTCTGTGATTACTATAATTTAGATCACTATTACAAGCTAAATCAGGAGTTTTGGAAAGTTATAGGTTTATTAATATTCTTACGTGGTGCTCATTGTATAAAAGGGAAAAAAGATTCATACTAAAGAATTCATATCATAACTAAAATTCTGTCATAAAATCTAAGGGGCTTGGTGGAGCAACGGCCGAACACTGTGCTGATAACTGGTAAGTTGATGGTTTAAACCTCGCCAGTGGTCTGCGGGGGAAGGACCCGGCAACCTGTCTCTACAAACTTTACAGCCTAGAAAACACTTGCCTTTACAATCTAAACACGAATAGCAGCAATCATAAAATATAATTAAAGAAATAATTTTTCTTAAATTAACTTTAATGAACATTTACAGAGATTTTTGGATTTCCATTCATTCATTGTTGCACTTTTCTCCCTGCCCACCCGAAATAATTGTTTTTAAAAGAATACCGATGGCACTGTTACGGACTATTTGTGCTTTTGAATTTGAGCCCCACTACTTACTAATTATATACCTTAAATAGCTATCTACTTCTCTACGTTGTGGATTATCAATTGGAAAATATGAGGTATGATCTGAGAATAGTTCCGCTTGGAAGAGACAACTACTGTGTAAAATTACGCAAGATGAGAAGTGATGAACTACACCGTACAGGAGTGACATTGCCGATTACCTGAATTACCCAACTTTATAATCTCCATTAGGAAAAAGGAGCTAGAAAAGGAATCCGAGATTCAGTCTTTGCAGAAAGCAAACTTCAATCTTGAAAGTCTTTTGGAAGCAACCAAACTCTGCAAGAGGCAAGAAGAAGTTTCTCAGTTGAACAAAATTCACGCGGAAACGCTTAAGGTAGGTCATACCATGCATATCCATGCCAACTCATTGGCTAATAGTGGTGTGAGAGCACAGAATTCTGTCATTTATCCTAAGACAATGGTCCACCACACCAGTTAGAATTCACCACCGGCTCCATGAAAGAAATTTGGACACTTCCCTCTCCCTGTTACTTACAGCCTCGGAAACCTATACTTGCTAAGCTTCAGGAAAATAGGCAGCACCTAGAGTCACGCTTGGATTCCAATTCTTTTTTTTTTTTAAATGTGTGTACCGTCAAATCGGATCTGACTGGTACAGGAGGCGATTGTTCCTCCTTCCTTGGCAGAGCATCTGGTGGATTTGAACCACGCACCTCTGGGATTGCAGTGCAGTTTCCTGCCACTAGGCCACCAGACCTCGGAATTCCAATTCTAATCTGCCTCTCACTTTAGGCATAGTTTTCTGACTTGAACCAGTGAATTGGGAATGAAGAACATTTAATTGCAAATTTGTTAGAACTTTACATGACATCATTGTAAAATGCCGGGCAATAGACTGATCTCGGTAAATGACTACTGTTGCTCTCATGTTTCTTGTGCTTTAGGTTTGCAGTGGAAGAATAGGAATCCTAAAAACAAAGACCACTAAACGATTGTAGGTAATGTGGGGAAGTAGTTAGGTTTTTCCTTAGTAACCATGTTGTTGTTGTGTCCCTTCAAGTAGGAACTGACTCGTGGCTGATTCTCCAGCAGGGTTTTAAAGGCTTTAAGTGCATTGTCCCGCCCGGCGCTCCTCGGTCCCCTCCCTCGGAGCCCGAAAGCGCGCGCTCTCAGGGGAACTCTGGTGGCCTAGTGGTAAGGAGCTGCAACTACAATCCCAGAGGCACATGGTTCGAAGCCACCAGATGCTCTGCCGGGGAAGGAGGAACAATCTCCTCCTGAACCAGTAAGATCTGATTTGACGGTACACTCACACAAAAACAATAAAATAAAAATTTTTTTAAAAAAAGGCTTTAAGTTACACAGAGGAGATTGCCCATCTTTCGCACACATAGCTGCTGGTGGATTTGAACCACTTGCCTTTGGGTTGGCAGTGCAACTATTTACCACTAAGCCACCAGAGTTCCATGAAAACCCTCCTCCTTAGAAAAATGGTCCAGCATTAAAGAATGAGAAATGACACAATGGAATACTATGTTGCATTGAAAAACAAGGAAACCATGAAATATTATACAAAATGGGTGACCCTGAAGGACATTGTGCTGAGTGAAATATGTCAGACACAAAATGACAAATACTATATAGTGCCACTGTTATAAAGCAAGACTGACATCGGAGTTGGGAGGAAAATAAGAGGGGATAAATAATGTATACTTTCTTGAAACAGATGAGGGAGAAAATGTTTAGGAGGAATATATGATTAGGTATTATTGTCAAGAAAAGTGTCCAGAATGAAAGCTGCATAGTGGAGTGGACTGGGGGTGGTGGTGGTGGTGGGTTGTATAACAATGAAATAATTTTTTTTTTACTTTTCAAAGAGAAAAGCGAACTGGGGGGAAGGCATGGGCAGGGAGGAAAGTATGCAACTATGAATGAATGGAAATCCAAAGTCTCTGTAAACTTTCATTAAAATAAAAAGAAGAATGAGAAATGTATTGCTGGATTAATTCTGATTCAGCGAATACAAAGAGAACAGGAGACAGACACAAGTAAACACAAGGTGACGATGCAGCTTCCCTGAGGAGTAAAAGATTTTGTCTTAAACTTTTAGAAAACATTAGATGTTTATGTACCTATAATAGGTTTTTTTTTACATTCTAATTTTTTTTTAGATTATTTATTTAACAGTAATCTTATTTCTTTTATTCACATGAATTTAAAGGAATGGAGGAAGCATAGTGGCAGATCTCTTTCCTCCTCTGTCTTGCTCGAGTTCAGTGCCCTCCTAGGGGGCAGTGTTACCAGGCTTTTTGGGTTTTGTTTTCTATCTTATCACAAATGATATCATATTGTACACATTGTCGTTTTAAAGGTCCAGATAATTCCAATTATTAATATACTTTTTTCTAGTATATATAATTTTGTTTTTTATATTTTACTCTTTAATACAACTACTAATCTATTTTTTATGATGTAACATAGAAATCGTAACTCTTTTTCCTCATGCATGTGAATTTTCAATTATAAATGGATTTCTGGACTTCATATTGTTACTCGACCTGATCCTTCATCTGATCATCATGGTTTCAGTGCTCCTGACCTTATATATGTTTATATTGACCAGTACATCTTTCCAGTTTATTCTTTAATTATCTGTCTCTCCTGGCACTCTGATTTTTGGATGACATTTGAACATTTTTATCTGATGTTTCATCTGAAGAAATACTACTTAATATTTTCTTGGAATGACACTGATCTCAAAAACTAAGCTTGACGCTCTTAGGGCATCTATGCTTCGTCTTAAGGATAGTTTTCTTTGAGTGAAGAGAAAAGAATTAGCTGAATAGGATTCTGGATTTCTTTTTTTAATCACAAAATAGTGCTGAATTTGCTGAGGGTGTGCATGCGTGCTGATAGTTCTCATGCTCTTTTTCACTGCAGATTATAACTACACCAACCAAGGCCTATCAGCTTCGGTCTCGACCAGCTTCACGATTAAGCCCAGGAATGGAAAGCTTTGTCCCTACGTCTGCTCAGAGTGCTGGTAAATTAGAAGACAGTATTTTCAATGAGCCAATTCCACCTGAGATGAGTGACCAGGCTTTTGAGGCCATTTCTGAGGAGCTCAGAATGGTGCAGGTACTATTTCATTTTAAAAGAACAAAAAACATATGGATGCAGGGTTCATGTTAACAAATCTCTTCTGTCTATAATCTTAGCTCTGTAATTTTTAGTATTCAAATCTATTATCTAAGTGTAGGGTGTGAAAAGTTCCTTGTTTGAAAGTTAAAAGAACTGTTCTTTAAATTTGCTCTGGAATCTTGAACAAGTGACTGTCTGATCTCCTTGAGCTTTGACAGCCTGAAAACTCATTTGCTACTGATTCTCTCTGTTTTTCTGGCCCTAAATCTTCTAAGACAAGTAAAACAATTAAAAGTAGCCAAAGCACATATTAGATCTGTAGACAACTTTTAGAAAATTTGAAATCAGAAACAACAATGGTAGAGATAGTCAAGAAATCAGAAGCTGTGTTGGTTTGGGAAATCTGCTGTCAAGGACCTCTCTGATGTTCTAAAGGGCAAGGCTGTTTATAGACAAAGGTGTACCTGACTCAACCCCTGGTATTTTTCACTTGTCTCATGGACAACTCAGTTGTCTTCATGCCTCTGAAATTTGGACAGTGCATAGCGTTCTTGGTTTTTTTAAAGTTATGATTTGAATGAAAGTTTACAAAGCACATTGTTTCTTCTGTCACTCATAAACTTTCCCCACTCCTTGTGTTATTATTTTTGCCTTTGGCAAATCTGCTGTTAAAGACTTTTTTTTTCTATTTGCTTTATTTGAGTGAAAGCTTGCAAATAATACTGAGTTTTCATTCAGTCATTCATAGATATTTTGTGTTCTAACATTAGTTAAAATACAGTGTCTGATCATCCATTTATTTACTATTTCCTTTCCCTTTAGCTATCTTAATAAGTGTTTATTACCTGCTGATTGATTTTTTTTCTCTTCCTTTTTTCTGTCTGGGTATGAACTTTCCTTTAGCTTTTTATAATGATGATCTTGTATAGTATTTGTACTTTTGTGACTGACTTATTTCACTCACCACTGTTCTCTAGATTCACCCATGTTATGCAGTGTTTCATGAATTCTTCATGGTACTGTAATGTTGCATTGTATATCATTATGTAAACATAATTCTTGAATCCACCTGTCCCCTGATGGGTACTTGGGCTGTTTCTGTCTAATTGCTGTTGTAGATGATGCTTTAGCAAACATGAGTGTGCATGTTTCAGTTCATGTCACAGCTCTTACTTCTTTAGGATGCATAGATTGGGCAGTTTTTCGAAAAAAAAGGTTTTCTACCATTTGTGGTGGGTGGTAGACCACCGCAACCCGTTATTAGCCCCCTCAGGGTCATGGAGACCTTCCTGGTAAGGTCATATCTGGCAACTCTGAGTAAACTTCTTAGAAGTCTTAAGATTGTGCCAGGATTTAATTCACGATTTGCATTGTTAGGATTTTTTGTCTTTCACTTGATCCACTTTGGTAGGCAACAGGTAAAGTTTTGAAACATGGGTAATAAAGAGATTATCTTTTTGAATTTGTGTCTGATTTCAAAGAGATCTTTGATATTATGTGCATAGGAAGTTTTTCATTTCGTTTTGTAATGCAGAAGTAATGATGACATATGTGAGAATTCCATTAAAAGAATTTCTGAGCACTGAAGTTTGTGTGTTCCAGGAACAAATGAACTCTCTACAAGTCAAGTTGGATGAAAAAGATCATAAAGTTGTGAAGCTTCAGCAGCATATTGACAAACTGGAGCACCATTCCACACAGATGCAGGAGGTGAGAGGGAAGTGCGCCCCTGGTCAATGTGTGAAGTGTTTACTCGAAGGAAAAGTGACGTAGGCAGAGAACAGCTCCTCAGAGACTGAGCCGTGGCTTAGTTGAGCTTTATTTTTTGCTTTGGTACTAAGCACACTTACTCTGATAATAAGAGAGAGATTCCTTAACTTGAGTTCTACCTGACTCAGCTGAACCTACAACTGGAATCCTCGCTCTTTGTTTGGAAGTAAGCAAAGGGCCAGGTTTTTACAGTGACCATTCTCCCAGTAGTTTATGGAAATGGGGAAAAAAATGGAAAGCCTTTTTTTTTGTGTGTGCCTGGAGAAACCATTTTAAACACAAGTTAATGATTTGGAGTACATTTTAACATGCTGGTATACCTTTTTCATTCAATTTTCCTTTCTCAAGCTTTTCTTATCAGAAAGAACTGACTGGACCAAACAACAGCAGGAGTACCTCTCACAGCTGAATACCTTTGAAAAGGAACTTGAAGACACAAGAGCTAAGAATGACTGTAAGTTTCAACCACTAAAAATTTTGATCTGAAAGGAAAATGGTCCAATTTGATTTCTTTAGAAAATCAGAAATGTAGTCAAAATATTGGAAAGTGAGGTTATGTTTCCAAGGATTGTCAATTTGTAAGATTAAGTCCCTTAAAAGATATTAAGTCTATTTAAAAAAATATATTAAATCTATTTCATTCTTTCCCCCCGTAATGAAAGAGTTTTGGTCCACATTCTGCATTGGAAAACTAGAAAATCCAGGTGCTCCGCAAGTCAGCAACAGGTACTATTGTTAAATAGAAAACCAGCAGAGCCCATGAGAAAGGGACAGGAAGTGAGCAGGGGTCTCAATGCCCCGCGCACGGGTTTGCGTCACTTTTCTCCTTGCTTTGCTCTTCATGGGCAAAGTGCTCATCAGTCATCGATATCTACTTTGTTAAAATACTTAGAAGGAAGCCTGTTGAGGGTTTGTTTTGTGTGTTTTCCAGTTTTGAAAAGTGAGGTACACGACCTTCGAGTAGTTCTTCATTCTGCAGACAAGGAGCTGTCTTCAGTGAAGATGGAGTATGGTTCATTCCGAGAAATCCAGGAGAGAGAACTCAGCCAGCTTTCGGAAAAACACATGCACGTACAGCTCCAGCTAGATAATGTCAGGTAGGGCTCTTCTGTTACAGCTTCAAGGGGCCTGGCTGGCCTGTAATCCCAACCCCAATCCCCAAGCGAAGGTCTTAACCACCTTAATCTGTCAAATGATTAGGCAGGTCTTATTGAAACACTAAATGGTGAAATAGATGGTTAATGGCTAAAGCGTCGGCAGGTCTTGTTTGATCGCAACCTGAATCCTCTGTGGTCTAAGGAACCCTGTTGCATCCGTGTGTCACGGAAATGTCACACACACACCTGAGGAGTTTCATATAAGCCACGTTGTATGTATGTTGGGAATAGTCTTTAGATTGGATACGGTGGAGTGCACGTAATCTGGCTAGCAAAAGTAAGACAGTTTTGTTATTTACAACTGTTGACATCTCTTTCTGATAAAGGCTAGAAAATGAAAGACTTCTGGAGAGAAAAGCCTGTCTACAGGATTCTTATGACAACTTACAAGAAGAAATGAAGTTCGAAATTGACCAACTTTCAAAAAATCTGCAAAACTGCAAAAAAGAGAATGAAGCCCTGCAATCCGATCTGAAAGTAAGAAGGATAGTGGTCACTGGGGAACGTGCCCTAGACACCTGGCTGCTGCTCCTGAGAGCAGGCCAGGGCCTGTGCCTAATCTCATCCCCACCTCCTCCTGAGTGCCTGTCACTGTCAGGGCCCTGACACTGACCCTAAACCTAACCCTGACCCTAACCTTAACCCTAACCCTGTGGTCTTGACTGGCTACTGCCAATGACAGTTAAGTACAATCTACTCCAATGTTGTCTTTTAGAATTTGATGGAACTTTTTGAGGCAGAAAAAGAACGCAATAACAAACTATTATTACAGTTTGAAGAAGATAAAGAAAACAATTCTAAGTGAGTAGTGTCTGTTCTGTTGACTACAGTGTTGTTCACTGATGCTTTTACTTGTTTTTATAAACTGCTGTTACTCTCTAAAAAAAATTGTTTTGAAAGTATTCCACAATGAATATCGCCTTTTTTTTTGTAAGTTGGTACGTAGCTAAATCTCACTTTTTCCAAAACGTTCAATAGATAGCTATGGCATTTTTTTAAATGTGCAGCAGTTGGTGGTGTATCTGAGCTCAGAACTTTGTATGAGTAAGTGTGTGTGTGTGAGTGAGGTGACTCCAAATGTGGTGAATGATTATTATTTCTGTTCATTTCATTTTGGGTTGGGTTTTTTGAGCTTTCTTTAATTCCTCACCCCTTCAATTGAATGCCATTTTATTTCTTCTTTCAATGCCTTTTTAGATAATCTCAGTCAGTCTCTTGGCCTCTGTCAGTAGACTGATTAGTACTCTCATGAGAGTAATTTTTTATTCCAAAGATATTCCTAGAGTTCTTGCTATGAAGCAAATATTGTTCTTGACCTTGGTAGACATTGCTTGTGGTGGAGTGTGCAGCTGATTGGCTAACAAGTGATTAATGCAGTCATTCTTTCAGACATTTGGTGATATCCAGCAAGGTGTGCTGTTTTGGTAAACATGGCAGAACGTTTAGATAAAGCAGTGAACACAGCCTCCTCGTCCTCATGCATTTTGCCTTCATGAGAAGGAGACAAATAATAAATCCATCTATAAATCATATACTAGTGGCCGTCGAGCACTCTGAGGGAAGCCAACTGCTCTGCTCTAAAAATGCTTGCTCCGTGGAGTCCTGAAAACTTTGAAATCTGAACTGCTCATCTCCACTGCAGCGTAATGTCTGCTGCATTGCCTTGAATCTCCTTTATTGGAGTAATTTCTCCTTCCATCGAGTGAAGCCATTAGTCAAGATAATTTTTCTCTTCCAGAGAAATTTTACAAGTTCTTGAGACTGTACGTCAGGAAAAACAGAAAGAAATGGCCAAGTGTGAGGAGCAGGTAAAAGATTTCTTTCCTCTCCCTTTAAAATGAGGTTTGTAAACTGTATTCATAGTGTCAAAGGTCATCTCCCTTTAGAATGAGGTTTGTACACAAGAGTCCACAATTAAGGTTGCATAGTGGAATGTACTTGGGGCAGTGGGAGGGGTGCAGGGGGATTGTGTACCAGGGAGGGAGTCTTTCTTTTACTTTTGAAAGAGAGGAGCAAACTGGGGGCAGGGGTAGGGGGGGTAGGGCTGGGCGGGGAGAGAAGTGCAGCAATGAATGAATGGAAATCCAAATTCTCTGTAAATGTTCATTAAAATTATTAAAAAAAATTTTTAAAAAAATGAAATTTGTAAACTGTATTCATAGTATCTACGATCATCTCCCTTTAGAATGAGGTTTGTAAACTGCATTCATAGTGTCTAAGAAGATACTGTTTGAAGAATTGTTTCAGCCCTCAGACATTAGAAATTGGGAATAAAATGATGTCATTCTTGCCTAGCTCTGTTGTTGTCATGTCTTTTTCTAACAGCCAGATGGCTGTCAGCGTAATGTACTGGTGACTTTCTCAGAGAGACCATGGAATCATTGCCTTTCCATCCGATTTACCAATATTTCTCGTTGTATTGACACTATATTGTACCGTGAAACAGACATTTTAGCTTGACTTTTTTTATACATGTGTGGTTAATTGGGTTTTGTTTAATTTTGTTTCTAAAAATATTATTTTTTTTTCAAAAATAATCCATTTTCCTCTCAGGTGGCCAGAGTACAGAAGCTAGAAGAGAGTTTGCTTGCTTCTGAAAAAGCAGTCAGCGCTCTGGAGAAATCCAGAGATGCTGACAAGGTAGGTGGCGTGGTGAGCACTTCCCTTTGCGGATTTTCTTACACACCTGGCTTTTTGAAAAAAGAACATATCTTTGTTGTTGAGAATCTACACAGCAGTGCATAGACCAGTTCAGCAGTTTCTGCTGGTCCAGTTCAGGGACTCTAGATACTGCTTCAATGTTCTGACGTCTCGCTCCGTCTCATTCCCCCCAGTGACTGTGGTGGCCTGGTAGGTAGCTAACTAGCGTTTCTTGTGCAGTTAAGCCTTTCTTGTCCTGTCAAGTTGTTACAGGATGAGATTCTCTGACTCTTGGGTTCATAATACAAATTCTCCAATCCTTGGTGTTACCTTTAACTTATATCATGCGGATCATTTATGCCGTAACTAATATCCATAAAAGGAACATGCAGAAACCTGTCAGAGAAGGCAAACTCCAGTGATTTCCACTAAGAAAGAACAATGGAAAAGCGGTAAAACTGTACCTTGTCAAAGGTACAAAACCCAAGAAAACAAGGCGGACTTGCTGAATTCCAGACCTCACTTGTATCGTTAGCCTTCTAGTTCCTAACGCCAAAGGAAATGTCCAGATTATATAATGGCACAAAGTCGTTGACTTTGACATTGATAGCAGTTTTACAGTATGATGTGGTATTTTGCTAGACGTGAAATTGATTTCTTTCGCCATTAGGAAATGTACCTGCATTCTCATTTAAAAGTTACCTCCCCAGTGTTCACTGGATGTGACGGTTTCATTTCCGTGTTTGCCAGGAAGTTATAACTGATCTCATGAGTCAGGTCCAAGAACTGAGGACATCACTCTGTGGGAAAACGGAAACCATGGACACCCTGAACCAAGAACTCAAGGACATTAATGTAAGTTCTGTGTCTGACAAGGAGGTGTAAGCACAAGACACACTTCCCAGACTCCATATGAGATTCATAGGTGGTCTACTAGGGGAAAAAGATTGTGTAGTCAAGTTAGTTTGGAAATGCTAATTAAAGTTAGCGGACTTCTGTATTGATTAGACTTGCAGGATGTAAGATGCCAGTAGGCTCTCACATTTGTTCTCAGGGCACCACTGGGGAATCAAACTATATAAGACAGTGACTCATTGTTACCGTAATAGTGACTCACTGTTACCTGTAATAGTTCTGTGGTGTTCCTAGTTGTCTCAAGCAGAGGGGAAAGTCACAGTTTTTAGAGACATCACTTTTATAGAAAGTGAGTTTATTTACCCAGTGTTGGCCTTTGGCTCCACAAAGTAACTACTTATTTCTCCAGCATATGTTTTGGGGTTTACAGAAAACATGGATTTCCATTCATTCGTTGTTGCACATTTTCCTCTTTACCCTCACCCCCCAACCCCGCAATTTTCTCTTTAAAAACTCGTTCATTGTTGCATCCAGCATATGTTTGAGTTGAGAGTTGGTGCATCCTCTTCAAAGACAAGCAATCCATATTTCACACTGATGCTTGTGGCCCATCTCGTCTTCTCTTCATCCTTCATGTAATTATTCTTCATTCCTTCATTCAACAAGTGTTTATAGAACTAAATTGTCTGCAAATGGAATCTGTTATCACCTTGAAAGTCGGACTCATCCCTGAATTCCTTTAATTTGCAAATAAACATGGTTAAGCAGACAGCTCCTGTGTCACGGCTTTCTTCTCTGCAGTGCAAGTACAATGCTGCTTTGACTGACAGAGAAGAGAATAAAATATTGATTAAGAGACAGGAAGTGGAGATTTTGGATCTGAAAAAGTCTCTTCGACTGAGAAAACTCTCTGAGGACATCGAGGTAGATGTTTAAACTTTATAACTTTTGTTTTTTCCTTCGTTATCTGTCAGGAATGGGTTTTTGTATGTGGAGGTTATTAATGAATAAAAAGAAAATTGTTTTAAGGAATTAATAATATTTCATTTTCCTTAGGATATTCAGATAATGAGAAAAGATAGTACTACAATTGTTAAATTTTATCTAGTCAGTTTATTTTCGTCCATTTTCGCTGGCACATGGTAAATTCTGATTAAAAACTCACCATTGTCGAGTCGGTCTGAAGCTCTGTGGCTTTCTGAGACTGTGAACGCGCAATCAGCTAAATGAGCATCCGAAACCCTCTGGGCATTTGTGCTGTGTCTGATGCGGTTACTGTGAATCAGCATTAACTATTTGGCCATAGATTTGACCTTCTACTCCTCTGCTGTTTGAGAAGGGAAAGCCTGTTTGAAGCCTTTCTTTATGGCTGCTTCCCTTCCTGTGCGTAAAAGACGATAGTCAGTTGAGGAGACACCAGGTGAGCTAAGGAGGAAGAGATCAACGAAGGCCGGGCCTGCGGGTGGGGAAGGGAAGCCCGAGTGCAGATAAACCTCAGATGGAACACCGACATGAACTTACGGTCTCAAGACTCCCTTCTAGATGTGACTGCCTGAACAGCAACTGGTTGGTCTGTCATGGGATGGATTAGCACAAACAACAAAGTTCTTAAAAACTCCTTCACCTTTTAGAATGATTCGAAGGGATAATAATTTGCGTATATTCATTAGCGTACTACAATTAAGAAATTGTTGTGGGTCTGTTCCCTGACAGAGGGATATGCTCTGCGAGGACTTGGCTCATGCCACAGAGCAGCTGAACATGCTCACAGAGGCCTCCAAAAAGCACCTGGAACTGCTGCAGTCTGCTCAGGAAGAGCTGACCAAAAAGGACGCCCTGATCCGGGAACTGCAGCACCGGGTGAGGTACAGGGAGGTGTCCCCACACGGTTCCAGGGAGGGGCAAGAGGAACCCATGGTGGAGGTCTTCACGCCGTCCCCGCCACGGCTGATTCCTCCAGCCCTGAAGGATAACTCGTGCAGCTGGATGGTCACAGGGTAGCTTCCTAACCTAGCAGCTTAAGGTCTTGGGTGAGCTGGTGTGAGCGGAGGCCTGCCTGGCCGCCTCCGCTCTTACTCAGAATCCCTGCCACGTACCAGCAGGTTCTAGCCACCAGGGTGAAGTTATGGCTGATTCTTATTTTCTTTTTGGCAGCTGTTGGTTTGTTTGTTTTTTTTTTATCTTGTTTTGGCTTTTTATTTGAAATTTTAAAAGACGTGCAAATTTCCGAGAGGAAAGGAGATGGTTGGATGATAATAGCAACTGAGGTAGATAAACACAAAAGTTAGCCCAAGATTTCACAGTGGGTTGCTTTAAAATATGTTGCAGTTTCCTGTTGTTTTAATACCATATTTCTTTTAAAGCTATTTATCAGTTCCTGAAGGAAAAAAAAAATCCAACCAACCATATAAAGCTTCTTTCCACCTGCCAGCTATGGAAATGTTAAATTTTTCTCTAGTTAACTTACAATCTCCGTCTGTTCAAATATTCCAGCTGGAACAAAAAGGAGAGGAAGTAGAACAAAAGAAGAACGAATACAACTTTAAAATGAGACAGCTGGGGCACGTGATGGAGTCTGCTGCCGAACACCCCCAGGTATTTGTCGGTAAAAGGATGCATCTCTTAGGGAATAAACACTTTTTGTGAATGATAAAAGTGTCATTTTGGAAATTACCAGGACCATAGCTTTATCTTTTTAAAGAAAAAAAGTTTTCACTGGGACCATCTTTTCTTGTTTTCTCTACTTCACCAAGGTACTAGTCTTGTTTGTTTCCCTTAGAAAAGAATTAGAACAAGCATGTAACCAACCGGCTTGTTTTCTCTGTGCCTGCCATATACACTCAAGCAGGTCTTTATCCACTCAACCTGGCATGCGGATGAGATGTGCTTTTATTTTAGAGCCCTAAAACACCACCTCACTTTCAAACACATTTGGCAAAACTCCTGGAAACACAAGAACAAGAGATAGAAGATGGAAGAGCGTCTAAGGTCTCCTTGCAGCACCTCGTAACCAAGCTTAACGAAGACAGAGCAGCCAAGCATGCCGAAATCCTCAAGATGAAGGTAACTGGGGCTTTGCTTTCCGTAAATAGTGTCCTTTCCCCCTGAAAAGCCCCGAGGAGAATATATGGGGCCTCCACGCGTTAGAACGAAGTCACAGACTAAGACGGAGTGAAACAGCACTTTTCACACTATGCCAAGTGTCAGCTGGTTTTCTAGGTCACTACAGCAATGCTTTTTTTTTCCTTTTTTAAAAAAAAACAAACAACCCAACAAAACCGTGTCCTTTATTTATTTATTTTTTTATTTAATAAGCAATAACCTCATTGTAACTTGGGATGTGAAATTTGAAAGACACAGAACTGAAGGGTAGATAGAAAAATGGTCTCCTAACTTGACTCCATGACTTCCTGGTTTGCGATCCCTGGAGGTTCTGTGTGTGGCCATTTCTTGGTCACTTAAAGGTCTATTAGCACGTGGCAGTGGATTTCCACCCACGTCTTTCAGCTTTCTGTCCCCACCTGACTTGCTGTTTGTGCACCAGTACACAGCTCTCACCAGCTACACTCTCATCGACAACAAACCAATCTGTGTCCTTCAAACCTGCTTGTGTGTCTTAACCAATATAATAAAGTATGTTACCTCACTGTTATAAATGTGTCTCTTTCCTATTAGGAGAAAGATTATCTTTTTTTTCTTTGTCTTTAAACTATATATGCTTTATTTCTTTTTCTTTTTAAATTTTTATTTTATCATTTTTTGTTAGAGCAAATCAGATCTAACTGGTACAGGAGGAGATTGCCCCTCCTTCTCCAGCAGAGCATCTGGTGGATTTGCTCTGGGATTGCAGTGCCGCTTCTTGTTTATTTCTTTTTCTATTGTAGGATGTTTTCTTATTGATGGGGAAAGTCCTTTATTCACTTTTGTCTTTGATAGTTCAAACTGTCCTCCTTTATCATTTTTCAGAACTGTCTTAGTTTTCCCTTCCAGCTGGTTGATACTTTTGTTTGGGATGGGGGTTATGTGAGGAGGAAGGGGTGTGTCAGGAAGGGTATGTATGCATAAAGATATGGCCCAGAGAACCTGTGAGGTCATTTATTGTTTTGCCGTGAGCAGCTTTGTTTAGGACTAAAATTAACTCACTGTAACAGAAGGCAGAAAGCATACAGAGGACATGTTTATTATATTAAGGTTTTTTTCCTTCATGACAAAGACCATTTCCAGCCTTTTTATTTAGGCTCATTTTCAGCATGCCATCTCCGGAATGTGGCTGCCACCCTCTTTCCACTGAGTGCTGTGAAAAAGAAGTCGGGTATTAGAGAAGTAAATCCAATTGGGCACTAATTATGCATCAGTATTTTCTTTCTTCAGAATGGTTTTGTTTATGATTTTGGAATTAGGATCTAATTACATATTTAAAGAGATGCGCTATGGCATAAATGTCTAAAAATCAGAGTCCATTAAATAGAATCAGATAGTTGAGAACATTACCACAGCAAAGACTGTCTTTTCTCACAAAGGACTTAGAATGAAATACATGCTTAAAAGCTATGTTGAAGACACTGTGGCATGAACATGAATCCTAATTCCAGACCTCCAAGGGTCATAGTCACATTTTTATCAAGTGGCACGTAATACAATAAAGGAGCTTAAAAGATGCCTGCTTAGTCCAGCCACGGCCTCGAGAAGCTAAACAATAACTGATCTCATGCATTTTCCTGAAAATTGATTTGCTGTGTTATTAGGAGCAGTTGTGTGAAATGGAAAATCTACGTCTGGAGGCTCAGCAGTTAAGAGAGCAAAACTGGCTCCTTCAAGGTCAGCTGGATGATAGTCGAAGACAGAAGGACAGCAGGTGAGGAAGAGGCTGCCTGGACGTTGTTACGTGTGAGGTCAGGATTGGTTTCGCAGTGTCCACGGTATTTCCCACTAGCCCAGGAAATGCCCCACCGCTTGCACTGAAATCGGTCTTCCGAGAAGATCACTGTTTCCACGTTCATGGTCTTACCTGCCTTGTTACCCTTTGCATTATTACACTGTTGTTATTGTGCCTTTGAGTTGAGACTAACCCATGGCTGACCCTCCATCTAGTGGGTTACAGAGGCAGTTAATCACACAAGAGGAGATTGTCATCCTCCTACAGAGCGGCTGGTAGAATTGAACCACATGCATCTGGGATTCCAGCCCAGCTCCTTACCATTAGGCCCCCAGAGCTCTGTACAGGTATTTCAATAGAGGTACTAGAAAGAGTTTAAAAAGTGAAATCCTGGAACTGAACTGCTTCTACTTCTGTAGGGTGGAGGCCGGGAGGAATAAGTTGACAAGACAGCTTGAGGAAGCTCTGCAGAAACAGGCCGGGTTTCCTGCCAGTCTGCTTTGCTGGATGTGAGGTCCAGTGAGAGGCCCTCTGTGAGATGAGAACTCCCGCCATGCTCCGCAGAGCCGTGCTCCCTTGTGCTCAGGCATCTCTGTGACCTCTCTCTCTGCAGATCTTTGTTTTGTTTTTTTTTTAATTTTTTTTTAGTTTTTATTATTTTGTGTGCGTGTACCGTCATATCAGATCTGACTGGTACAGGAGGATATTGCGCCTCCTTCTCCGGCAGAGCATCTGGTGGATTTGAACCGTGTTCCTCTGGGATTGCAGTGCAGCTTCTTGCCACTAGGCCACCAGAGCTCTCCAGATCTTTGTTTTGATGTCAATTATGATAGCGTTCTGGTTTCATATGCTAAAGACATAATACACTATCAGAGATGTCCACACCAGGCTGGTATCTAGATTCTGACACTTAAAAACTGGGTCATACTGGACACATTTTAAAAGTTATAATGCCTCAATTTCCTTAGCTATAAAATGCAGATAACTGCCCTACAGTGTTTAAAAAATTCAAAATGTGTATAAACTTTCAATTCTAGTGATTGGCAGAGTAGAAAAAATGTTCATTCCCATTGAGTCAGAGCTGTCTTACACCTGACCCTAGTGGGTTTTCAAAGGTTGTGAGTCATCCAGGAGAAGATTGCCCATCTTTCTCCTGTGTGGGATAGCTGGTGGATTCAAAGCACTTGCGTTTAGGTTGATGGGATAACTCCTTACCCACAAGGCCATGAGAGTCAAGGCACTCAGTAAATAAATGTCGTTCAGAAGTACAAGGTAGGATAACGAGCCTTCCATTATGATTTTTCTGAATGAGAGATTGGAGATTAGAGTGGGCTATAAAACTATGCACAGCCTGGCATTGATGCATATAAGAAATTTGAAATTGATACTTAAGTATCCTTAACACTATTTTTCTCTTTCTCCCCTTTGGAATCTCATCAGTGACCAGAATCACCCAGATGATCAACTGAAGAATGAACAAGATGAAATTGTGCAAGAAAGACTTGCAAAAGTAGGATATTATGTTTTAGCATAATAGCTGTTACTTTTTATCAGAAAAATACCTGTTTTAACTATAACAATACCTTTTAAGGTTAGTGTTTACTGTTTTGTATTTTAGAAACCATTTTGCTACCGAATTGTTTATAATGTCTATGTTCTCGCTGTTTTAAGTACATTTGCCATCAGTTCTTAGTGATCGCTGAGAATTAGGAGTGGATTTGTCTTCAGCCCCGCTAGTCAGCTTCCTGCCGAGCAAACCCATGGTCTGTTTAGATGCAAGTGTCGAGTGCCTGGCTGAGGCCTCGTAAACAAGTGCCCTGACTGAATGCCCGTAGCTGGGATTTTGGAAAAGGGTATTATTGCCTTAATTTACTTTATTACCATGGTAACGAGCAGTCAAGTTACTCGACTCTATTTTTTATCCCTTGCAATGTTGCTTAAGAATTTCAGCCATTGATTTCTGTGTTGTTGTTGTTTTTTTTACACAGAATAAAATAGCTGAAGAAATGATGAAGATGAAATCACAGTAAGTTGGCTGCCCTGTCACGTTCTCTCCAGCTTTATTTTCTAAATAAGCTGTCTAAGACAAGGGTCGAGGGGAATCTGAAGCAATTGAGCGAGAGAGTCAGGGCCTTCTCCCCTGTCCGCCTGAGCTTTTGGAGGACACAGTCTGGAAGCACCAGAGTAGAGCCGCCCATTCGTCCACAGCAGGCTGCTCTGTTAACCGAGAGCAGGTGTCTTTCTAGCAGTTTGAACCCATTGGAGGATCCTTGGGAGAAAGATAGACAGTCCCTTCCCGTACGATTTCCAGCCTCCATAAACACACGAGAGGGCCAGCTGCGAGTCAGTTCACAGCTCGGTAGCAGGGAGAGAACCTTTATGAAGCCGACAGCTTCATCGTTTTCCTGTGGAGCAGACGGTGGATTTGAAACTCCAACGTAGTGTTTGATAGCTGAGTGCTTAACCACTGCACCACCAGGGCTCCTCATTCACCAGCCTCGGTGGCAGATAGTCTGTTAAATTTCCATAATCAACATCCCATATGCTTTTAAAGTAAAACATATTTGTTTCCTTTGGGAAATAGGATCCAGTTTATAAAAGTCAGCAGAATTCTGCATAATAGTGATAACTTTATTTTGTCTATTTCTTTTCAACTAATAGTTGTATGTATAAAGTTTATAAATTCTCAATACCACAGATTTGAAGAAATGACTTTTATCCCGCTGTCTGGTGACCAGTTTTGTTTTTTGTATTCTGTTTTATTTTTTAACATTTTTGTGTGTGTGTGCTGTCAAATCACATCTGACTGGTACAGGAGAAGATTGTCCTTCCTTCTCCAGCAGAGCATCTGATGGATTTGAACCACTCACTCCTGGGATTGCAGTGTAGCTTCTTGCCACTAGGCCACCAGAGCTCGCCTGATGACCAGTTTTTAAAGTCAGAAATTGTTAAAACTGAAAAAAATAATGACATGGGGGCTACTAAATAAGCGAGGAATACTGTATCAGTATGTAACGTAACTGGTCCAGCTGGGCTGAATCCAAAAGAATTTTCACCATTAAAGTGTAATTATTATTTTACAAAATGGTGTGAATATGTTTCCAAAATGAAATAGGTAAAACTCACCCTAAAGTATTCTCCTGGAAGAACTTGTAACTTTGAGACCTAATTATCAGCAATTTCTTTAAAACAAAGATGGTAAAGTAAGAGGGCAGGGAAACAAGAGTAATAGAAATGGAACAGCCAGAACAGAAGTACTCAGACTGAGACTGTCCGTGTGTTTTGAGGGATGGAACCAGAGCCCCTTGGCAATGTGTGGAATCATTGTTGACTGGGAACCTACACAGCTGTGTAAACCGTCACTCAAAAGACAATACAGTAACACTGACAGAGGACAGCATTTGACTCTTCTTTTACCAGCAGCCGAGGAGGGCAGAGAATCAATGCCATTTTCAAATAAGTTCTGAACTTTGGAGAAAAAAAATGTCTGGTTGGAGTGCTCTTGTTCTAATTAGCTCCCTGTGGAGTACCAGGAAGTGGTGTTTGCTCTTTCAGCCTAGAAGAAGTCCAGAGTGCCCTTCAGAGCAAGGAGATGAGCTACGTTCAGATGGCCGAGGAATTGGAGCGGACCAGGACTTTGGAGTCTAAAGCATTCCAGGAAAAGGAACAGCTGAGATCCAAACTGGAGGAAACATATGAAGAAAAGGAAAGAGCACTGCAGGTGGGTGGGGTGTGTGTGTGTGTGTGTGTGTGCACGCTTGCCATTCAGACTCCCCCTGTGCACAGCAGAGCAGCGTCCTGCCTCGTCTTGCCCCGTCCTGCCCCGCCGTCACAGGTTTTGCTCTGAGCCTTTACGTCAGTCCATCTTATGAGGCTCTTCCCCTCTCTTGCTGAACCCTCTGCTTTACTGAGCACCGTTTGGTCCTTCTCCAGGGACCCAAACAAGTGAGATGCCATCTCGCCAGCCTGGCTTCTAAGGAACATTCTGGGTTCCAAGATAGCTTTGTTTGTCGTTCTGACAGTCCACTGTGTATTTAATATTCTTTGCTAGCACCGTCATTCAAAGTCATCAGTTGCTCAGTCTTCCTTATTCATTGTTCAACTTTTACACGCACATAAGCTAATTGAAAAGACTGTAGGAGACTTGACTTAAGAGGATGAAAGAGTGCAGATCCCCTGGTATTTGATGCCCTCTGTTTAAAGTGGCTTCGGCAGACGCCACAGAAACCAGGACTCTGAGCTCTGACTCCCTGTATTTTTGCAAAGTATGGAAAACAGTGTCCTTTTAAAATAAAAATGAAAACTGCATCTCATCTTTCTTTGTTGGCTTGAATTGCCTGCAGGAGACGGAAATGTTAAGGAAGCAGATGGAATGTCTCGCCGAGGAAAATGGGAAGCTTGTGGGTCACCAGAACCTCCACCAGAAGATCCAGTATGTGGTGCGGCTCAAGAAGGAGAACGTCAGGCTGGTGGAGGTAAACGCTGCAGAGTCCACTCACTTCCGCTTACAAGTAACACACCATTAAAATGCAATCACTGAGTCGGTTATCTCTTACTTCTTGGAACGTTCCTGAATTCAGCACAGCTTCCGTTGTTGTTCTCCAGACCCATTGCTCCTTAATCTTAACTTAAATTGTCAGCATCGGGTTCTTGCTTCATATTAAAGTAGCTTTCAAATAGAAAACATAGTCCTTTTAATTTGAATTAGAAACATAGAGGCCCAGAAGAGGCCTTCCTATAAAAATCAGAGCTTTAACATGAATCCACACGTACGGGAACTGGTGAGTGACTTCACTAATTAAAAATAAAGCCTTAAAAAAAAAAGCTGGAGCCTTAATTGTGCCCATATCCCCACCCCATTTTTCTTTCCTCAACTTCCTAGGAGACAGAAAAGTTGCGGGCTGAAAATATATTTTTAAAAGAAAAGAAATGAATCCTGAGGATCCTGGACGAATGAGACATCATCTTGTATAAAGAGTTTTTCTGTATTAAAGCACGGGCTCCTGCCAGCTTGGCTGGGCTGAGCGTATGGGCCTCGATCATTACCTGTGTACATGGTGGTGGCAGCCGCCGACCTTCAGAGCTCATTCTGCATCTGTGTATGCCTGGGCAGGGTGCTCTTAAAAGGCTCCCTGCCATTTTCAAGGCTTTAAAGCAGCTAGCTGTGAATGCTTGAAAACCTTGTGCCTTTTAAAAATAAGAATCTCTGGTTCTTACAGAAGATGCTGGGTCACAGCACACATGCCCTGTGTTCTACTGTAATCTCCTTTTATTCTCTTATTAGAGCCTCTAACAAGATATGAGGAAGAATGCATTTGTTAATATACATCATTTTTGTGTTTCTACCATGAGTATTGTCATGCGCATTTACAATGACTGTAAATATGAACATTTTTTTAAAAAGTTAATAAAATCTCTGAGAAGGAATAAACTGTTTGTTAAAATGATCATTCACTTGTATAAGGAGAACCTGTTGTACACCTGACCGTGGCATAAGTGAGCAAAGCAAACACAATTTCAGCCTTCAGTGAACCTCTGTGTATCACAATGTCATTAATTTTTATTGTTAATAATTTAAAAAACCCTCCACTATATTTTATCCATTTACCAGTTGATGGTCAGTTGTTTCCAGTTTGAGTTATTGTGAATAATTGTGCCACAAACATCTGTGTGAAGTCTTGATATTACTCTAAAGTTGTGGTTTTACTGCTTGCAACAGAAAAATCAATCTTGGAGACAGAGTGGAGTGGAGAAAGCAGAAGTTTTATGATACAGGATTGACACAAGATGGACTAAAACAGTCACAGTGCACTTGAGCATGTGAGAGGTCATAAAGGGGCATAGGTTAGGCAAGGTTCAGATTTGTTGATAGGGTTGCTCTTAGTCATAATTGACTTGACAGCATACAACAAGAAGATACCATAGGAGACTGGGGTTCAAAGTTCCACAGATCTGTCTCGCTATCCTGGAAAGCTGCAGGGGCTTATACAGAGAAGGTCCGGACAGTGGTGTCTGAGAAGTCTTTACAGCATCTTCTCTTGCCCACGTGTTTTGGTTGGAGGCCATGTCTCAGACAGTTGATCTGGTCTGGGTAATATTCCAGGAACAGTTGGTGTTCCTTGTATGTTGTGGCCAAAAGGGAGTGACTCCTCACCATGCATTATAGTAACGTGCAAGAGGGCGGAATCAGGGCTTTAGTTTGATAACTCTCCTAGACTAAGAGAAAGGCCCTTTCCCACTTAAGATAAATTAAAAACGGAAAAGCCTTAAGCTGAGTTAGGAAGCAGTAAAATGTTTTCAGAATTATTAATGGAAAGCCTCCTTCAGAGGGCAGATTCACTCCCTGCTTCATTACAGGGCCCACCCCACCCATTCCTACTGTCTCATTCTATTTAACTAACAGCAAATTTTCCTATTGCAATTCGTCTTTGGTGGCCTAGTGTTAAGAAACTGCCCTGTAATTCCAAAGACATGGCTCAAATCAACCAGCTGCCCCATGGGAGAAAGATGAGCAATCTCCTCCCCTTAAACTGCCTGTGAAAACCTGCTGGAGGGTCAGGTATGGACCTGTTAAGACTTAATGGTAAACAACAACAAAGAAGTGTACGTATATACACTTTGTGTGGCTGTTAGGTGCTGTTGATTTGCCTCTGACTCACTCCATGTACAAAAGAATGAAATTCTCTTCAGTCTTAGACTATTCTCACAGACTGCCGTGTCTGAGCCCTTTGTTGCCGCCTTTGTCAATTCATCTCCATCTCCTGGAGGGTCTTTTTTTCGGTGATCCTCTACCAAGCAGGGTTCCTCCTTTACCATCAGGTTCCTCCTGATGACATGGCCAAAGTATGTGATGTTGTGTATCTTCGAGTTGGAAATGACCCATGGCTGACCTTCCAGCAAGTTTTCACATGGGAGACTCTCCATCCTTCTCCCCTGGAGCAGTTGGTGGATTCAAACTGCATGCCTTTGGGATTGCAGCGCAGCTTCTTGACACTAATGAATTAAGTATTCTTGACACAAATGAATTAAGTATTCTTGACACTAATGAATTAAGTATTCTCATTTTTATTGACAATCTTTTTTCTAAAGAGTAAAAATAGGGAACACCACTCCTGTGGAATCCTGATTATCTGAATGGAAAGATTATGGATAATTTTCTTTTATTCTCATCAATTATCTCTTATTTTCTAAATTTCTACCAAAAGTGAGCCTTTGTCTAGAGCCCAGTTTTCATTTTCTTGGAGGTCTCCAGATCCCCTTGCCCCATCGCTCATTTATTCCATCCAACGGATTTTTAAAATATCTGATCTTCTCAGTTTTGTTATTGTCCCTGGCGATCTTGTAAACACGAAGATTTTTTTCAATCGGTCGGGGGCGGGAGGCGCCTAGGATTCAGAAGGGCTTGTCAACGGTGAACCACACTGACAGGCAGGGATGGAAGTGCCTGGCCACGACCCGTTTACAATCTACAACAGCGACCACGCTGTCAGCCCCAAAAGATGCAACGTCCTCGCGGAGAATAAAACACCCAATCCCGAAGCTGCCGGCCGCCCACCGCTCTGGAGAGCAAGGGGGAAATGCCAACCGCCCAAATTCGAGAGCGGGCTCCGGCCGCCACGCCCCCTTCCCCAGGAAGCTCTCGGCCACTTCTGGGTCTCAGCTCGCCTTGGGTCACGTGAGGACACTTTCACGTGATCACGCCGTCCAATCAGCGCGCGCCGTCGGCCCGGCGTGAGCCGTACGCGACGGGCTAGCAGGGCGTGCGCTGCAGCCACGATGGCCGAGAGGCTGCGGCCCCCGAGCGGCTCCGTGTGCGCGGCCGCCTACCCCGACGCCCCCGCCGACTTCCCCCCGCACCTCCAGGCCGGCGCGATGCGGCGCCGCTTCTGGGGCGTGTTCAACTGCCTGTGCGCCGGCGCGTTCGGGGCCCTGGCCGCCGCCTCCGCCAAGCTGGCCTTCGGCAGCGAGGTCGAGCCCGGGGCGCTGCAGCTGCGGACGGGCGGGCAGTGCGGGCGGAGGAGGGCACTGCGGGCTCCCGGGCGGGCGAGCATGGAGGCCCCGGACGCTGCTCAGCCCGCCTCTGTGCGGCCTGGTCCCGAGGCACTGCGGTCAGCCGGGGTGGGACAGACCCACAATCATCTCCCACCCTCGGCCAGTGTAGGCGCAGGGATTGAGGCGGCTTCCCTTAACCAGAGACTTGAACTTTTGCTGGGAATGGGCTAGACCGCTTTCGGGGTAGATGTACACCTAAATCCGTCCTCTTATTTTTAAATCCCTCCCCGTTAAATCTCAAGGTGAGAAGCTCATCTCTGTTCCGTGATTAACATGTGTTCCGCCTGGCCCTTCGGACAAATGAGCGCTCTGCAGCCCGTGGATGAGGGATGGTTGACAGGCAGGATGTGCTTAAGTCCCTGTCGCTGAGTCGTCCAAAACGTAGCCCCGCATTCCTTAAGGAGTTTACACTTAACCTCCCAGTCCAAGACGTGGCCCAGCATCTGCTTCCAGAGGTTTCTCTTTTATCTACAGCCCAGGATAGGCTCTGACCTGGGAACTAAAGGCCAAGATTATTTAGGTTTAAACAGTGAGGTTTGAGGTTCATACCGTGTTTTAAGAGGCTACACTGACCATAGTAGGAGAAATGATTCTTTGGTCTCAAAGTTTTCTGTTTTGCAGATTTTTGTGTAGCAGGCCTCCGTAACACTTTATATAAAGGGTTTACACAATGCCCATAACAGGCTTTTATGTAAATTATAAGATGTCATCTTTTGCTCAAAACAATATTCAGCTACTAGTTAAGTAACAGACATCCTTTATAGTGTACGTTGTCTCTTGTTATCTACCAAGGAGTAGAAACCAGTTGATAGCTGAATCTTGAGTGGGTGTTTTTCAGAGTTAATCGCATAGGAGGAGATTCAAACAGCTTGCCTGTGGGTTGGCCACATAACTCCTTACCATTAAGGCCACCAAAGCGAGCTCCAGAGGAAGCAGCCGTGTCTTAGAGAGTGCAAAACCCTACCACCAGATTTTTGTTTTGAGGCCAGGCAAAGGAGTTTGCATGCCTTTTGTGCAGGAGGCTTCAAAAGATCCTCTTCAAAACTTTCTCCTTAACAAACCAACAAAAAGGAATTTGCAGGTTTTAAAAAGGTAACACCTGAAATCACCAAGTAGCCTGAGACAGTGTTTTCCCCAGGCTGCACTTGTGTGCTGGCGAAGAGTGGGCTTAAACCCGAAGTGCTCACCACATTGGTGCCGTTTGGGCAAGTCCTTCTATGCACACTTCTTTATCTGCAAAATGAAATTAAGGAATAAATGAGAACACATTTAAAGCACGTGGCACCAGGCCTTGTCCCAGAGTACAAGCTAGAGAGTTTGGAGTAGGGCTGGCCTGAGGCTGGAAGCTGACTAGGAGGTAAGGACCAGACTCCTGGACTCTCACTGCACCCTGAGTATGAGATCCTTGGGCTTCTGGGACTGATCTTCAAGCCCTGATCACTGGGCATCAATTCAGTAAGAGACTAGTGTTCAACAGGAGAACATTGCTTATAAGAGTAGCATTTTGCTTTAGTAAGGTGGCCAAATCTGTGTCGTCTCTGAGTTTATCTCATCTAGAAAACAGGTCCCAAGCCACCACAGGATCAGTAAAGTCCTAGGCAGGAGGACTCAGAGGCCCCTGGTGCTGTGGTGGGATTTCAGTCGAGGCTGGGCTGGTGGCGCCCACGCCTCTGGATGTGTCACGAGTGGGGCTGCAGCTCACACTGCAGGGATCGGTGTGGTGCCAGTGACACTTCTCTCCCGCAGGTCAGCATGGGCTTGTGCGTGCTGGGCATCGTGGGGATGGCCTTCACCAATTCCCTGATGTGGACGTTCTTTAGCCGGGGCCTCAGTTTCTCCATGTCTTCGGCCATTGCCTCGGTCACGGTGACTTTTTCAAACATCCTCAGCTCGGTGAGTGAACTGTCCCAAACGTGGGCTCTGGGAGGGAAAGCTCGTGTCTGGGTGGACTGTCCTCGGGGACCTCTTTTCCCTCCATCTTCTCCTTTTCTCCTCCTGCTCCCTGAAGAGCTACTGGCTGATTCTGCTCATCAACCTAAAATCCTGCTCTTACCTAAAATCAAAAGAGATCCATCCTTTCCACACAGTTTGTGTGAAGAGACCTTAGACAGTAGAAATGACCATTGATTTCCAGGCAGCTCACAGACCGGAGGCCAGATTTCCTGGGGCCCAACTCACACTTCATGTGTCAAAATCTATAGGTTGAAGAGCTTGGGAATCTCTTAACTCACTCTTCTTTTTTTTTTTTCAATAACCTGCTATTCTAATAATTGTTTCATGCAACCACTCTGGAGAGTCCAGGTTTATGGGTATTTAATAGCAGATGGTCTCCCAGTGGTCCAGTTTAAATACAAGCAGAAAAATAGGACTGCTGGGATATTCATGTGCCCAAGCGACGCTACCCATGTGTTCTAATGGCCACAGAGTCAGGCAGGCCTCATGATCGCTAGCCCCTGAGGCACAGGGGTCTCCTAAGCTTGTCATAAACTTGTAAAGTGTGAGATGGATCTTTACAAGGAAACTTTTCTCTTCCTTTGTACAACCATCTCTTTGGAAGTTCTTACATTTGTAAAGTTTCCCAGCAGTAGAGCTTCCTGTCCGTGTTTTTGCTTTGACCAGCATCTTTGCTAGGACCGAACACCTGTTGTAGCCCAGTGTGGTAGCTCCTGGATGCGCAGGTGGGAGTCACTGAGGTTCCCTTGGCTTGGGTTGTAGCTGCCACCACAGCAGCACCCCGTCAGTGGAGAGCCAGGAACCTGTGGCTCCAAGTCAGGGGAGGGTCAGAGGGCCCTGGAAAGGAGCTCTTCTTGCTGAACACCTTCCTCCCGACACGGTCTGGCTGAAAACTGTCGGAGCTGTTCTAGAATCAGAGCCCTAGAGCTTAGAGACGAGACCTTAGTGTTTTGGTCAAACCTCTTCACTTTGAAGATGGAAACAGTTGGACCAGAGAAAGCAGTAGATTTCATATCAAGAGACTTGAGAGAGATGAAGGTAAGTGGTTTTTTGCTTTATTCACCCCATTTCCTCTGAGGATTCATGGACTTTCAGGTGCCCGGCAGAGATACAGTCTCAGGTGTTGCACTGGCAGCCTAAAAGCTCTTTGCTCCCCACTCACCCTCTTTAAGCTGCCTGCTTGGCAGTTGCTGCTGCGTGATTGTGACAGGCTCCCTGACAGAGGCCCAGACTAGAGTAATGCCCATGACTCCGCCCGTCAGCCTGCTTCCTGGTGACGTTAGCTGTGTAGCCTCTGCCTTGCTCCCCCAAACACTGAGGAGTTCTCACAGTAGATGGGGGTGAAGCCCACATGGACAAAGCCAGCCTGAGTCCCTGCACAGCCCAGCTGTCTGAGGCCAGGTTTCCCAAGGCCACAAGGTGGTGCTGACCATCTCCTGGCCAGAGCTGAGCCCAGCCAGCCCTGGAGGTGAGGGAGGGAGTACTCAGAATGGAGAACAACAGACCCGTCGGTGTGCAGGGCCCGAGGGCTCTGCCTCTCTGCGCTGGGCTGCGTCTTGCTCATGTACTTTGCTGGGGCCCGATCCTGAGAAGAAAGTAGCCTGCTTTCTCTACTGCAGGTGAGGTGGGAATGACTAGAGAGCACTGTCTGCAGGTTCTGCAGGGTTCTGGGCCCCAGGTTTTCCTCCAGAACCTGGAGGAAGGGTGTCCCTGTGACCGCTCGCATCATCTCTGTCCTGCCTCACGCCGTGTCTGTTCTCCAGGCATTCCTGGGCTACGTGCTGTACGGGGAGTGCCAGGAGGTGCTGTGGTGGGGCGGCGTCTTCCTCATCCTCTGCGGACTCACCCTCATCCACAGGAAGCTCCCGCCCACCTGGAAGGCCCTGGAACAGAAGCAGCAGTAGCACCACGGGCTGTAGGGGCTGCTGGGAAGAAAAGACAGACAGACAGTGACCCAGGCTCAGTCAGAGGGCAGGGCCAGGCCAGGTAGGCCTCGGGATCAGCCCTGCTCTGAGGACAGCAGGCCTTGGAGCTGCCTTCGGGCATGAAGCCAGGCTTCTGTGAAGGGAGATACAGCAGGCTGCAACGCTCTGACACTTTACCGATGTGTCCGTACAGTGCTTTGGACCCTCCTGTCCCCAGGCTGCGTCCTCTGCTGCTGCATGAACCTCAGAGGAGGATTGATGTCCAGCGGGGAGCTGCTCTGTGTATGGTGCCTGAAGCCGAGCTGTCCTTGTGGTGTGTTCCTCGACTAAGGCCAGTCCTGTGCCGTGAGAACCAGCGACTCTCAGGACTGGCTGACACCTCCTTGCTGATGTCCCAGCCCACCTGTGTCATGCCTGGGTGCTGTGGCACGAAAAGGAAAACCGAGTTAATAAAGGACTTTTTTTACAGTAAAACTACCATTTATAGAATCTTCATGCTTCCATTCTTTGGAGTGTTCAGTGTCAGCCATCGTGGACTGGACTGACATTCCCAGAGTGGAGGGACTGGCGTGTGGCCGCATGGTTGGGGCGGGGGGTGTGTGTGTGCTCACCTTGTGTGTTCCCTCCGGAGCCCTGGGCGGAGAGATTTGGATGCAGGAGGGTCTCCACGCTAGGAGAAAAGTGGGAGCTCACTTGAGGACCTTGTTTTGTTTTCTTGTTAGGAATACAACTACTTCAGAATATTGCTTCTCTCTCCCTTCTCTCTCAAGACCACCTTTATGCCTCTTCTGTCCCATACTGAGGTCTCTTGATTCTCTGAGCCTCACAGCTGTGCATGGAATTCCCTGGGGTTTGTTTTTTGTTTTTAACGAAAGCATCCTCTCCCTCCTACTTCCCCCAGATGGTAGAGAAGAATGATCATCAGTGACAAATTGCAGTTTCTCTGAAGCAACACCAAAAATCGGCTTCACGCTCAGGAGAGAACGGGCCTCCTTGTGGCTTTTGGTTTTCTGTGCGTGCAGAGAAACTTCTCCAGCAACGAACTGTCGAAATGATCCCCGAAAGTAGAGTTTTTGGAATTCCCGGCTCATGCTGTCTGCTGCCGACACTCTCCCAGCGTACTCTGGAGCCTGGAACAGTCCTCTCCCATCTCCCCTTGGGGATTGGGCCCTGTCTTCCTGCCATAGAGCACCTTAAATAGGAGTGAATGATGCTTACTGAGGGATGGAAGTGGTCCGCACCTGGGAAGCGTCCATAGTCACAGAGTCGGAGCAGCAGCTCTGCCAGACTGCGAAAAGGACACATTCTTGTGTGGTTGGAGTGGGAACTGAAGGTCACAGAATCTGTACCTTCCTGAAAAATCATGGTGGGAAGATAGGGGGAAGGAAGACTCGGGCAGTGATAGGTCTGTACCACACACGAGTGGGATTGCATCGTCAATTCATGTCAGTGAAAACAATTGTCATTCAGTTTATTACAAAGTGGTCCCACACCGACTACAGGACACGTTTTTCTGGTAACGGAACTAGGGAGCTTTGGTGGCAACATTTATAAGGTGTTGTAACTCCCTACCATCAAGCCACCAAAGTTCACATTTCTAATGTTATTAGGTGCCATTGAGTTGAATATGACTCAGTGACCCTGTGAACAACAGGTCTGAACCCTGACCTACCCTGTGCCATCCTCATCACCTCTGACATACTGAAGCTTAATGGTGCAGTTACCACGTCAGTCCATCTGCTTGAGGATCTTCCTTTCTTTTGCCAGCCCTTCCACCTTGGATGTTCCCATCCAAGAAATAGTGTCTATTAGCAACACGCCCAAAGTGGGTGAGATGAAGCTTCATCATCTTTGCCTCCAAGGAGCAGTCTGGCTGCACTTTCTCCAAGATGTAACCATTCTTTTGGCAGTCCATGGGATGTTCAGTACCCTTTTCCAACGCCACAGTTCACATTCCCAGTGGCATCTTCTAAATCAGAGACTACCCTGGCAGGAAGACTTTTTAAAAGGAGTAGCATCAACTAAGTGAGATACTGAAATGGTTTAAGGTGCTGTTGCTAAAACCAGTCAGACCCAGGTATTAGGTTTGGGTTTTATATTCAGGAACTATTGAACTTTCACATAGGAATACATAACCCTAAGGAGCACAGATCGCACATTTCCTATTATTATTTGGAGGGGAGAATAGTAAAATCTATAGAAAGATACTATTAGAACAAATGCTCCTTTGACTATGTACAGGTTCCACAAAAGCAGATCAAATGTTTTAGAGTAACCATTCTCGTTGTTATCTATCATTTTATGACCCACACTCAGAAAGCTTTGTTAGTCAATAAAACCAAGTCAACATTTTGTTAGTGTTCTCTGCTTTCAGCCAAAATCCATCTGGTGCCAAATACGATAAAACCAATGGCTCAAATCCAAGGATTTTCTTTCTGTGTGATCTTGTTCCGTGATCTTGGGACAAGCTGTCTTCCTGCTCTGCAGTCAGTTTCTTCTGGTAGTTGGACTAGAAAAGCTAAGTCACCAGTAATCTGGCTGGTTCACTCAAGAGCTGTGGTCTTTAACTGGGACGGGTGAATCAGAATCCTAATTCTGTAGTGCAGCAACACAATGAGTTAGGTCTTTCCCTTCAGGTAATCTTGCAGCTGATGTCCTTTTTTAAAAAAACAATAATAGCAGCTTTGGGTCTGTAAGGAAGGAGAGTGAAAGTTTGACTACAAGTCCTCTGTTGTTGTTAGGGATTGTCAAGTTGAGTATGACTTGTAGAAACCCTGTGAACAACAGACCTGAACATTGTGCTATCTTGTGCCATCCTCATCTCTGACATTTGAGCCCATTGGAGTAATCACAGTGTCAAGCAGCGTGGTGGAGAGTCTTCCTTTCTTTCATCAACCCTCCATCTTTCCAAGCATGATGTCCCTCTCCCAGGAATAACCACCTCTGGCAACATGGCCTGAATTATGTGAGACGAAGCTTTGTCAGCTTTTCTTCCAAGGAGCACTCTGGCTGTACCTTCTCCAAGACATACCTGTTTGTTCTTTTTGTAACCACAGGATAGTTAGCATTTTCTTCAACACCACAACCCAAAAGCATCTGTCATCCTTATTCATTGTCTAGCTCTCAGATGGATAGCAAGTGAATGAAAGACCAAATTGAAAAGCCCTCCATAAATCATTTTAAAATAAACATTGAGCTGTGGTGGCCCAGTGGCAAGAAGCTGCTCTGTAATCCCAAAGGCACGCAGTTCGAGGCCACCAGCTGTTCCATGGGAGAATGGGCAATCTCCTCCCAAGTGATTAACTGACTCTGAAAACTCACTAGAGGGTGAGCTGTGGGTCAATTCTGACTCAACAGTACACAACAACAACTATCACAAATAGCTCCATATCTGATCCCTGGAATCTTACAAAGAGTGGAAATGCCCACAGCAACAATTGTTTGAATCAGAAGTGAACCTCAGGTGGTGGTTTTTCTAAGACTTATAACAACAACAAGAAGAAGAAAAGTGCAAACAAATTTAAGGTAAATTATATCTGCTAGCCCAGTTCCCATGAAAGCCAAAACTCTGAAAAGTAAAGTAGGAGGTAGTCCGGAAATACGATGATATAAACCTGATGGTGCTTTATCCACCAGACCTCGGAGAAATGAAGTGTCATCCTTGATGTATGTGGCGGGGCTACTCATCCAGGTTAAAGGGGCTGCCGTTTGGGAAAAGCAGCTTTTAAGAATCCAAAATGGAGGGGGGAGGGGTTTGTGCGGGGAGAAGGGTGCAACAATGAATGAATGGAATCCCAAAATCTCTGTAGATGTTCATGGAAATGAAAAATAAACAACCTAAATTTAAAAAAAAAAAAGAATCCAAAATGGATTTCATGTCAAGGCCTCAAAATGGAGTTAAGGCTCTGCTTTTGGTGGCCTGGTGGTTCGAACCCACTCACTGCTCCTTGGGAGAAAGATGGACAATCTCCTCCTGTGCAATTTACAGCTTCTGACAACCAGCTGGAAGATCAGCTATAGGTCGATTCTGACTTGACAGCACACAACAACATTTACACATGAAGTGTCTCTCATTTTAGGGTTTTACACCTAGCACACTTTCCTGCAGGTGGGCACAGGCAACTGTGGCTGGGAGAGGTTTCCTCCAGGCGGGAGCTTCTTTTGCCTGAAGCCTTGTTTTCACTGTATTCTTAGTGTCTAAAACCAAGCCCTGGCACCTGTTGATGGGGCTCTGGCATGACCCAGCTTCTCTTTTGCCACCTACTCAGTCCCATCCTGCCCACCACACTTGGTCACCCCAAACAGTGGCATCTCAGGAGTTCTCAGCCTTCTGCACTTCTTCATGCCTTCTGCACTTGCTGTTTCCTTTGCCTTGGGTTCCTGCAGCCACTCCTTCCAGACTCCCTGGGTGCAACATGCTGCTTGATCTGAGCTCCCACAGGTGCCCAGGCAAAGCTCTGTGTCCGTGATGCTAAACTATTAACTGTAAGCCACCTCGCCGCAGCAGGAGGAGGGGGCCCTTGTGATTCCCGTCGTAGAGGTGAAGATCCCTGAGTGGCTCACATAGTTAAGCACTTGATTGCTACCTGAAAGGTTGGTTTGAACCTTTCCCGAAGCGGCTTGGAAAATAGTCCTGGTGAACTGGCTTCTGAGAGGTCACCACCTTGAAAACATCCAGCACACACAAGCTGCTTGTGGCCTGGAATCAACCGGGTGGCAATGATCATTTTATTTTTACCTTAAAAACAACTACAATGCATGAATTTTATATTAATAAAACCAATTAATAACAAATATTTCCTTGGTGTTAATATCAACTCAAAGCAATCCTGTAGGACAGAGTAGAAATTGCATCATAGGATTTCCATAGGAAAGGCGATTTCAATCTTTTTTAAAAATTTTTATTTTATATTGGTTTGCTTATAAAGTTCCTATACATGGTGTTTCACACTATTCTTTATTCACATTGTGTTTCATAC